CAATATCCCAACTCGATATATATGTGACTATACTGACTAGTCTGGCTCCCTCGGTTGATATATAGAATTGTTTTTTAAAGTCTAGTGATTTATAACAGTATACATCATTGTAATATCGTAAAATTTTATTCGCTTTTAAATATTTGCAACTTCGTCTCCTCTACTCTCTCTTAAAAAAAAGCCCTGAATTAATGAATATAAAATAGCGAATTAAAAACTCAAACACTAGTTTTTGTTTTTGGTGGTTGTTGGGAAAATAGTGAATGCCTAATCGATAACTTGTTATATGATAAGACTCTTCTCTCTCAGAAAAAAAAAACAACATAATATAAATCATAATAATGTACGATAAAACCAGACATTATTAAAGTAATCCAGCATAGAGGCGTTCTCAAGATATTTCAATGGGGAGGGATGAAAAAAATGGTTACATAATAAGCCGTAAGTTTAGGTTAGGTTAGGTAAGATTTTTGCCTCACAACTCCCACTTTATAATAATGAATATTAAAATAATCAATAATCACGATAAAAAAAAAAAAAGCATAAAAAAATAAAAATAATGACTAGTCAATATTGAAAACATATATCAAAAGTAAACAAAACGAGTATTACTAATATGTAAGAAAATAAAGAACCTTGGAGGGGGATCTATCCCCCATATCCCTCCTTGTGAAAACGCCCATGATCCAGCAATATAACTAAAACATAGATGGTAGATAGATATATTGATATATTAATATATTTCTATATTAGTTTAAATTTAAAAATAAATAAGTGTGGTTGGTAATTATAATTTTTTCCTCGTCTTGAACATGATATTTATTTATTTTTTAAAATTAATTACAGTCTGTAGTACTAGAGTCAAGAATATGCAAATGTTCAATAAATATACCTAACTATTAATTTCAACAAATAATACTGACAACTAACAACAACGATACAAGTGGAAAGACCCAGAAGAACAAAAATTGTAAACATGGAATATTCTTAGGTTAAATAATAGCAGTAAATAAAATCATTAAAATTATTTTATCATAGTTTTAATAAATAATTATTTATTTAAGCATAAGATTAAACATACTATTTATCCTTGAACAACAGTTAACAATATAAATTACCTACTGGTGAAACACTCAGAACAGCTATACTGTACCTACCAATGACATATAGGTCAATTATTTTAATTTTTATCTTATCTCTAAATGTTTAAATGGTTATTTTAATATTATTATTATTGTAAAAACAACTAAAACTATTAACCCCAGGTCTCAGCCCTTACACGTTTATCAAATTGTAACTATTATTCACCATCATTGGAATCATTCATCAGTGTTACGTCATAATAATATACAGTCAAATTGAATATTTTTACTTTCAATGAGAGTACATGAAACACTCATTTACATGATTTAAGATATTGATTTATATAATTTCTAATTAGCCTTTGTCTATATATAAATTGTATTTAATATTGAAAATTGATGAAATCATAGTATAAAGTATAGACTATAGAAAGTAAAATAATAAAAAAATTAAACGTTGGCATCTTCGTGAGTAATTTTAAACATCTTGAATGAGGTACATATATAATTCATCATAATGTATTACAGGTTTTATAATATGTTAAAAAAAAAAAATTAGTATTTTTATCACTATTTGGTACAGAAAAAATACTTCAACTTCAATGATTATTGCTCGTAAAAAATGTTAGATCGACGATCTTCACTCATTTAACTAATTTTAAGAGACCGGCGCTAAAACTGAATTGTAAATTACAAATCCAACATTCTACATTTTTTAAATAAATAAAATACTTTGTGGATTTACTATACACATCTAATATCTTTTGTTTATCTCATCTTATTATTCTAAAATATTTTAATTAATTATTATTATTAAAAATGTAACTAGTTAACCAGACATTTTTACACCTGTTAAAAAAAAATACAGTCAACGAAGACTTCTTTTTTATTTCTATAGAAAATTCAAATTGTGAATTGTTAATAGCTTGCAAGTAATTTTCATAATTCATAATTAACCCTTATCAAAATCCTAGGGACTACAAGTCCCGGACTAGTAATCTAGAAACTAAATGATATTTATTTTTTTTTGGTGGAGGGAGGGGAGATGAAAAGAAAGTAATTCTAAATAATCGAAAAAAATTAAAAAATTACACTACAAGAAAATGAGATTTACGAAATACCAGTTTTGAAAAAATCAATACCTTTTCTTTAATAATTTAAAAAGGAATAATTAAAAATATACTTGACATTTTTGCCAAACTTAAATAAGCATTTTTAGACATGATTTATTCTTGTTTTTAAATATTCAGGCATTTGAAATATTAATCAAATTTTTGATTTTTTTTATATTTTTTCAAAAAAAATATTATCAGTAAAATAGGGGTTTCATTTTTTTTTTAAGGACATTTAAAGTATATATTTTGATGAAATTAAATATTTAAAATTAAAATAAAAAATATTGATTAAAGACTTGGAATATTTTTATTTTATGATGTTAGCATATCAATATTTTATACACACAATGTAATTTTGAAAATATTTGGACTAATTTTAATTTATTTATACTAAAGGTACTATTAACACAACATTAATAATATTGGATAAAATCTTTATCAATATTATATAATGGGTAAGGTAAATAATGTGGTTTTGAGACAAAATTAATTTTCGTGATCGTATTAGTAGTAATGTATTACTAGTAACAAAATGGATTTCTTATAGTGCCGAACATAAATAAATTGTACAATAACCTCCTACAATTATAGTGACTGATAGTTGGTACATGATTATAAATTATAAAACTATGGTTTTTCATTTGAAATTATTTATTCATGAATTCAAATTTACATTAAAAATTACCCAGAGCTCAATGACGAGATACACTGAAAATTTACTGATTAACAGTGACTTCCCCAATTTATTCTTTAATTAAGTTTTTTAAAATAACATGATAAATGGTGTCAATATTTTTTATACTATATAATAGCTAAATTAGCTAATAGTAATGTATTAAATTCCCATAAAGTTTCAACAATAGAAATAATACTAATAAGTAATCAACTAATAACTATAAAGTAATTAAAAGATATTATATTGTAAATTATGTAAATAACTTAAACTATAATTAACATGGTATACATTATAATCTCATTTTTAACACAGTAATTCCTAATATATTATGCTATAGCATTCAAGTTGTTGTATAAACATCAGATAAAGAAACAGATAAAGAAATAAATTTAAAAAAAAAAACAATGGCCAATAATGAGTATCTTGCATTCAGTCAAGGCATGCAAAGTGCCGTTGATAAATAATTAATAAGGCCATGTAAATATTTAAATGAAAATTAAACTATTGATAAATATTAATGTACAATATTACAATTTAAAAATTATTGTAAGTTTTTTAAACATTTTGAAATTGATAACATACATACAAACATCATGCGTGATATGTTATATTACATTTAATCACACAAGTGCTAATCAAAATAAACATCTTTTGTTTGTCCTATGAAAACTCACGAAGCCTTGTACTGTTCAATTTCAATGTCAATAAAAGTCTCAATTTCGTAAAATTGTTGTACCAACCTAATACAAAATGTACAATCATTTTATAATTATTATTTTTTATAATATAATAAATAATTAAACGTGTATTAAAAATTAAATCAATTGTATCAATATTTTTCATCTAAATTGATTAGCTACACAAGAAATCAAGAACCAAACTATATAAAATGAATTTTGAACTAACACATTAACTCGTTTGAAATTTATTTTTTTTTATCAACTCTCAAAAAAATATTAAGTTTAAAAATTGTTTTGTTGTAATTCAAAAAAGTAAAGTTTGATAAATATTAAAAATAATTATTTGATTAAAAACCTTCTTTTTGCTTCACATGTGATAACTTTTTAGTAAAAAGCAATATTTTTATAAAGAGAAAACTTTTTGAAATAATGACCATTATAACTATTGATAAGAATCTCTTTACATTGCATCTTGGACATAACTATTAAAATATACTATCAGTGATCTTCAAATTAAAATTATAATTCTTATAGTTAAAAAAAAAAACTATTGATATAATATTAATCACATAATAAATATTAAGCAATCTATAATCTATACTGTATATTATTTTTTACAAAAATATATTTATCAGATTTTAATAACTAGAATAATTAGGGTTCTAAAGAATTATTTCATTTAGTTTATAGACATAAGTATCTAAATATTGATTTTCATAAAATAAAAAAAAAAAATGAAAATAATTAAATTTTTATTTTGTAAAAAATAATTTTGTTAATAATACATTAACAACATTAACATTTAATTAAAGTGGAATAATAAATATATTATTTTTGATTTAAAGTCTAAATTCAATGGTTTTTAAAAATTAAACTAATAAACCAATTTTTAAATTTTTCATTACTTCAATTGTATATTTAATATAATTAAATACTTATGCTATAAATAACTTGTTTAAAATATGTTTAAATTATTAATATACTAAATAGAGGGTATTTTTTATTAAATTTAATAATTTAACTTGACTCACATAATATATCTAAGTAATTGTAATAATAATTATAAGTTAATTATTAACTGATGAGGTATCTCTAATTAAACATGTTAGTCTAGAATCTAAACTAAAAAAATGTCAAAATATATCATTGATTTAATAATATAATTTAAATGTTTAACTAAATCATTAGTTTTCTTCGTCATATTTTTAATTGCATATCTAAAATATAATAAACAATGATCATATGTTTAGCAACCTTCTCTATTTCCATATAAATAAACTGTACCATAAGACATTTTGTTTACTTGGCAAGTCATTCTCAATTTTTTTTATTCTACATATTTGAAAACCATCCAACATGTTGAGCCAAAAAATACTTGCCTTTGTTTAGGAACTATACCATAAACGTTACAAAAATTGTAAAAATAAAATTATGTAAAATAGTTTTTATTTATATACATTTATAAGCTAAATATAACAATTACAATCAATTTAAATTTAAGGTAATCTAAAATTTAAAAATAGGCACATGTGGCTAAAATTTTAAGACTCAAGATTTTTTTAAAGGTAACAACTGAAATTTGACAGTATCTCCTTTTTCTCGTCTTTGAACAACTCTTGAATAGTCTTGAGTCATTTTGATGACTTTATCAGCAATCTCATTAGCTGTATCACCAGTGATCGTAATTCTTACTTCATGCATCTTAGATAGCCATTTATGGATATTATTAGCTTTTGATTCTAAATCACCCTGGCCGATACGACAATTTATTAATACTGTTTTTTCCTTTTTAAGTTGATTATGACTTTTCTCGTTCTTATGATCCTCCTTAAGGAATTGATTGGCCGTCATCATTTGGTACACAGGTCGCTGTGTTTTAGTGTCAATATCAATAATTTTAACCAATTTCAGGCCTCGTCTTTCACACATCTTAGACGCTACATCCATTGTTACTACAGATACATCATTTTCTAGTCCCAACAGTGTAATTTTTGGCTGCGGCACTGTTTTAGGTCTAATCTTTTTCAGAGCGACTTCATTGTCAATCTCCAATTTATTTTTCTTGAATTCCAAAGTCTGACAAAGACAAACGTTAGACGATGGTTGCCAGTTAATCGGCAAACGAATCGCATATAGAGCGCTCGCTGTAAATCTCTTAAGCATCGTCAATTATTAGAAATAAAATGAAAAAATTTAAAACAAAATAAGAAACCTGGTCCACAGCATAGTCTTAAAAATAGTTAAAAAAACACCAATGCGAAACACGCATGACACAATATTACACTGTGAGCTGCACACAGCGCGTAACGATATGATAAATATTGTCTATGTTGATAACACACTCGCACGCTTTATAGGAGTATTTTTTACTCTATGGCACACACAGAGTTCTTATCATTTTTGCGGTCGCTTAACAAAAATCGAGATAAAACACTTTGTACTATTCATAACGGGTAAATATTTTTATGATTTCTAAAATAATACTTAAACCCAAGCATACCTGGCTTTTCTTTCCCATTTTTGCGTCTGTTCGTTTTTTTTGAGGACGAACGGAAGCCTGTTAGACACTATGATGAGCTTGCCGGACGCGTGTGCAGTCATAGTGGAGGTGTTTAAGCGACGATGGACGCAGAAACGAGAATAATATACTGTATTATATTAGTGACGATTTAAATAAACGACGACTCGCCTTTACGCGCCACAAAGACACTGCACTGAGTGACTGTCGACTGATCTAGTGATATGTTTTATTGTTATTATTGTTATTTGGGACTTGAGCGTAAGATGTTCACAGTTATTAGTAATTCCTATTTCCTACTGCTCCCCGTAGAAACCGACAGTCGTCCGTCGCCACTCGTTGTCGATCACCGTCGAGGAGAGCCGAACAGACGCGTACGACGTCACGAATCACGACCGGAGGACGTGGTATGTCTTGATAGTGGGGATAGAGCTGACGGGAATACCTGTAACCAGAACGGGTGGTACTGTAGTAGAAGTACAGGGGTTTCTTCGTCCCCGCGCATTCGCCAAAAACGTGTGTGCGGGTATCCGTGCCCCCGTGGTCCGTCGGTCGTGCTCGACGCCAACGTTCACAATTAATTTTACTCTGGTCGAACGACGATCAGCTGACGGCGCCACCGGCGACCGATCATGCCGCCGGTCACTGGACACCGATGACTGATCAGCCGCGGTGCTAGTGCCGAGTAAATTATTCTCGTATGCGTGATGCACAATATTATATTTAATATATTTATACGTCTATGTGTTATTTATTGTGTATTTGTATACTTGTATGTAACAACGGTATCGTGTCCCAAGGTCAGCCGTGCAGAATTTTCGCCCGGGCCAACTTGTCTATGGTTGCCGGAGAGAAATCAATATCTTAACGATGAACGTGTCCCTGGCCCCTGCACGCGTTCATTTAATTTAGTTAATTTTTTTCGTTTTACCCGAGTCGCTTGTACATATTACCTGTAAACAAATTCTGGTCGTACGACATACTTGTGAACGGGTTGTGTACGTGTGTTGTCTACTTAATTGATTGCAAACCAGCACAACTATTGTATAACAAATTTTATAGTATTCTATTTAGGTTTGTTAGGTAGTAACTAGTTTACTAGAAATAATAGCTTACCTAAATACATGGCTATACCTATACGACTGTAAACAATACATCTATATTTTTATTATTGTATTACAATTTACATTACATTATTTACCTTTAATAGGCACCTGTATATGTATTACGAACCTACGACAATACGACCTAGGTAGTAGGTTGTAGGTACCCATATCGAAACGCGCCTATACGGTAGTTACTTGTCCATCATTTCTTATTAAGTGTGTAATAATGTAATATTATGTACCTATACTTATTAAACTGCCACTGATAATAGAACACTAGTTTTTTAAACGTTTTGCTGCAATTTATACTAATTACCTAGTACGATTATTATTAAAGAATAGAATTTCATTGTTGTTGTAATAATATACATATATCTAAAACAAAATAAATATTTATATTTATCTAATAGATACCTATTAATTAATCTCTTAAAATTTTGAGCGTGATATCTGCAATACAAAATGCGTCTACATTACCTACCGTCATCACTGATACATTAGTCGTGTAGAAAAAAAACTAATTATTTTATGTAATATGGAATCATATATCATTAATATATACATATAGGTGGTATGTATACAAAGTGATTTACCAAATATGCTCATCCCCTTTTCTCCTTTAATTATACATGTATACTCAATATCTGATAATTGGAATTTTTATATACCACCTAGGTATCTATTTACTAAAACCATATTTTTCGATTCTTGAGATTATTTTGAAATCAGTATTTAAATTAAAGAATGTCCTGTGAGATATAATCCATTTTTAAATAAACCCCTACCTCAAATTTATACAGTTAATTATCTAGCAGATAATGTTTTAGACAATTTTAAGGAATTAAAATTAAAACTCAAACTAGTTTTGAAATTGTTAGACCTGTAATAAATTTAAAATTTTAGTAAATTATAATAATCTAACAATATTTATAATTCATAAAAATGGTCTAATTATATAAATATATAATGAATATTGTACACTTTAATACAAAACTACCAATATCTAATTTATATCCATTTTACATCTTTGTAAAATCATTTTTAAAGATTATTATTAGGCTTACCATTCGTCCTGGTTTTATCGGCATATCTTGGTGTCTTGGTCGGTCTTTTATACTTTTTTGGTTAATAGAAACTAAGAGAAAATAACATTTAATATTGAATTATTTATCAATACAACAGAATAATATTGTACACTATTTAAAATAATCAACTTTTTTTAATTTCATTATAAATACTTCACTATTTTCTTGAAAATTTAGTACAAGATTTTACATAAGTTATTTTATTTATATGAAAATATTAAAAATACATAAGTATAATTTTTTTTTTTTTGTATATATATTTGAAGTTAAAATTTTTACAAGATTCATTAAAATCGTTATAATTTATGAACTACAAGTATTTTGTGAAAAAAAGTGTATAGAGTCTTCAATTTTTATTGCTAAAGTTGGAAAAGTTAATACAATGCCCCTCATAAATAATTCATACTGAAACTAAAAATAAATATGAGTACAATTCCTTTTTTTATAGATATTTGAAGTTAAAATTTATATGAAATTCTACATTTATACAATGAATAACAATTTTAATTAAAAAAATATATTGATTGAGTCTATAAACGTTTACGTGTATACCTATATTATGAATTTTATTGTTTTTAAAGAATTTCCTTTCAGTGCATTTATATAACATGTTTATAATTGATAATATACATGTATGAGATGTATGAAACTCAGATTTGAGTTAATTTGTTTATTCCTTATTCACTGATAATTTGAAGATCTTTTGTAAGCAGTTAAAATAAGTATAAATTTCACAATATTGTAGAATTAAATTACTATTACATGCTATGTTTTTGTTGAAAGTGTGTTTTATTGCACTTAATTTATAATAGGTATATAAAACATCTTGCTTTATTGCAGTAATTAAAGAAGTATTAATGTAAACATAATTTACAAAATGTATACATCATAAAGTCATAAAAAATTTACTAATTAATTTGTAACTAAGACAACGAATAAATGTAGGTATGTAATATTATCATAACACGGTTCTAGGAAATATTGGCCTTATCATAGGATCTTGAATAACAGATTTTTCATGTACTTTAGACATAAAATATCCATGTTGCAATACACCAATACGAACATCCATTTCCATGATATCTGACTTAATAGTTGCTATTGCCTTTTTTATATTTATTAATGGTGCTATAATTAAATATTATAATTATTAATTAAAATAATATGAATTTATCATAATATATAGTATATTAGTATACTTACTTCCATCTGTCATACTTGATCCTCTTTCATCCATTTCTTGTTTCACAATATCTAATTGTTCTGTTATTTTCAATAATGTATCTTGCCGTTCTACAACACCATTACTTAAGAGTTTATAATGTTCAATAACTCGAGCCAGTTCATCCTAAATAGTAGCAAAAAAATATAATATCAGTTATAACAAATTAGCTATATTATTATTTCTTTTTTATATTTATACCTGAGAATTACGGTATTCTATTAAAAGACTGTCTAAAGAACTATTCAAGTATTGTTCTCTACTATAAACTTTCTCCATGGTTTCTCCTAGTGTACTACAAAGATTAGTCAAAAGAGGCTTGACTTTTTCTATGGATGCATTCATCATGAGTTTGTGTTCCTTCATTTGTTTTAAACTTGTTCGCCAATCTTTATAATCTAATTTGATAAAAATATTAAATTGAACGAATAAGAATTCAAGAAGTAATTCAAACATACATATATATAAAATTAAACAATCTAAAAATAAATTATAACTTTCTAAGCTGATTTTAAATGGAATAAATAATAAATTGTTTAGGATTAATAAAAAAGAAGTAGGTAAGTGGGTAATGCTCTACTATACATTAGATGTCAAATGGGTCACAATATTGGGTATATTCAATTTGAATTCAATAATATATCATTGTACACAAAAAAGATTCTGAATGAAGACAGTTTGTCAGCCTATATTACTAATTGTATTTTGTGTTATGTTTTTAATACAGCTATTAAAGTAATTTATTTTATTTTTATTATTATGATAGATTAAAAACTTATAAAGAACCTTTTATTCAATTTTCTTAGATTTTTACCCATTTGTGAAATTTTTTAATGACATTTATAAAAATAATTAAGTATATCAATTATCTATAAATATATAAAAAAAAATCACAATATTTTGAAAAAAAATGATAAGATAAATACTTAGTGAAAATTTCAAGAACCCTTAAAAGAATTTTATTTGTTTTTGAATTATAACAAAATAAAGAAATCAATTTAGTCAAAATCTAATTAAGCAATTCTTGTTTCTAGTTATTTTTGTTTTTTTAATTATAAAAAAAGTACTAGGAATTTTTAATTCTAATTAGATATAATTTGCTATCTAGAATCATCCTCAAATACATTCATCGCATACTTAAATTCCAAAAACAAAAATACATTGGTGATTACTAAATTTGTTATTAATTTTAATTGATATGTGTTTTTTACAGTAAAATTTATTTTAAGCATTAATAAAAGGCTATTTTTAAAAGTATATATCAAGAATTTAAAATAATTTAAATACTATAAAATAAAAGATAAATTAAATTTTATTAGATTATATTTCAGATTTTTTGACATATAACGAAATACAACTTAAGTATTTATTTGTTTAGAATCTAATTAAATACCTAGCTTGATTGTTACTCTTAATGAAGGTAATACTTGTTCTAATTCTAGGTTCCATTCTTCTTTATTGGCAGATGACATTTTTAAATTTTCATTTGTTTTAAAAGAAGTTTGCCTTTTATTCTGTAATTAATATTTTTATTGTAATTCATACTAAATTGCAAAATATTTAAAATTTACCCTATTTAAAACAGTTAAATCATTAACATTAATCATATTTTCTTCATCAGAATCAGAGTCAGTCCAAACCATTTCTTCTTCAACATGTTCTAATAAAAGTTCTGCATTATTTTCAGATAATTCTTCTATTTCTTCTTTTTCAACTGGAAATATTGGCCTAAAAATTAAAATTGCTATTCAAATAAATTTTTCATTTTAAAATATTATTTTATACTTTTTGTAGGTAAAATCATTTTTTTTTAAAGCTAAGTTTGCAAGTCCATTTAAAATGTCAATAACATGCTTTCCAAAACCTTGTTTTAATTGATTGACTGGAAAATCAACAGATAATTCCTAAAATAATGTATACTTTTATATATATTTTCCTTTAGTTTAATAATATAGTATGTATGTCATACCAATTGTGCAGATGATTCTAATATACTGTTAACTGTTGAATTTGGGTCATCATATTCTTGCGGTTGTTTTAAATCTTTACCAAGTTTGCTTAACAGCCATATGGCTAAAGACACAAACATATAAAACTGTTCTCCAGAACTAGTTTGTAAGGCAAAATAATGTCTAAAATATCATTAACTTTATTAGTAAATGTTTAATTAAAGATGAATATAATCATTACCTATTGATTGGTCTCATTTTCAACGAATTCACTACATAAGTTTCATAATCTAACAGTTTTAATCGATCACATAGAATTTCCATATCAAGAAATTGTTGATATGATATAGTTTCGTTCCGACTAGTTGATCGACTACGACTAGAATCTACTGACTGAATATCCATATTTATTATTTCAGTCCTATACAAAAATCACAAATAAATTTTATTATAAAATATAGTAATTAGTTAAATATATATTGAAATAAATGTACAAACATAATTATATTTAGTTAGAAGTTATATTATTATAATAGCCAGGAATAACTTATCCAGGACTAAACAGAAAAATCAAATTAAATAATCATTAATATTTTATGTATAACTGTATAAATCTTAAAATATATTAGTACCTTACACTCACATAAAAATTCTTAAAAATATGATTTCACATTAGATAAGAGAGTATTAAAATTATTTTTAAATACCTACATTATAAGTTATTGAATGAAGAAAAGTATTCAAGACGAATGATTAGTGTTTTTTCTCATTTGAATATCTAAGTATTATCAATAAAATCTTCTTCTACCTATCACTACTCTAATTCATATTGATCAACAAAACTAACTTTAAGGGTTGATCAAGTTTTCCTACTCTAATTACGCATTAGCATCCAGACTTCTTAGATGAAATATCTCCATTAAATACTTAGAATGCCAAACCCCCATTGCACGTTTTTAAACGGTCACTTCATCAAGAACTCTCTATCCTAAACAGTAAACAGTTTCATTCCTGAAATGTTCACACTTCTAAGTCATTGAAATGTTTAAGTCAACAAGCTATAATTTGCAGCCAAATAACCCTCCAGAGGTGTCTAAAATGCAACTGATTTCACGATTTAATAGTTGAATGAAAATCCAATTTAGTTCTATCACAATTATTCGAAGTTTCATCAATGGATGGTTTCTTCAATAAATCACTAACCATGTAGGTATTCATGTTTCCCACTCGCACTTCACTTAAAATTTTTGTAAATTACTACAGATTTATACGTAATATAATGATTAATGTTAAAAATAATAATTACGATACATACAAAATGTAATTATGTTTTTAAGATAGGTATCTACTATTTAGTGTTCATTTGGCTATAAATAGAAAAAAGTTTAAAGAACTAATTTTTTATTTTTATTTAAAAATGTTGTTGTTATCTGCATTGCCGAAAATACGGAACAGTACTCCATAACAGTTAACACAACTGTATATATATATACAGTTATAATTATAATTTTTATCAGCTTTCTTGTCCTGTACTGCGCATGCGCATAGTAAAAAAATCAATACATTATCGATGTTATAGTACATGCAATTATCGATTTTATAATATTTAAAAAATGCGCACGCGCTAATTCTGTCATTTTATACTCTGTAAAACTTGACTTGGAAACTATTGCAATCTTCAATGCTCGGATTCCAAACTATTGTTTTTTGAATATTTGCTCAATGAATAATATTCACTTTTAAAGCTAAAACAAATATATAAATAGAAAAGTTTATATATTAATTTATTAGTTACTTATTTATCTACTTAAGTAATGAATAAAAAATAAATAAAAAATATAAATATATAAATTATTTATATACAACTAGGAGTATATAAACTAGTTATACATTGTAAATTTATAAACCAAGTATTAAACTTAGTAAGTATTGTTTGGAACTTTATATATTGGTGTATATTATATTTATGACTAATTAAATATTTAAATATTTAAATATAGATATAAATTATACTTTTTATTTATTAAATATTTAAATGTTAGATGAAAGCATCACAAAAAATAGTGCTTGTAAGATTTAATTTGTATAATATGTGTATTTTACTGTTTGAATAGGTAGTAATAATGGTTGAAGAAATGGATACAACAGGAGGTGCTTTGAATAGTTTATTTTCATTCACCAGCCCATCTGTAAAAAAACTACTGGGGTGGAAACAAGGGGATGAAGAAGAGAAGTGGGCTGAAAAAGCTGTAGATGCATTGATGAAAAAGTTAAAAAAAACAAAAGGAGCAACTGAAGATTTACAAAAAGCTCTAAGTTCACCTGGACAACCAAGTAAATGTGTCACTATACCTAGAAGTCTTGATGGTCGATTGCAAGTAAGATCATAATATTTTATGTTTGTTTACAATTTTACACCTGTATTAAAAGCTTGTAATCCTAGGTATCTCACAGAAAAGGTTTACCTCATGTCATATACTGCAGAGTATGGCGATGGCCTGATCTTCAGTCACACCATGAGCTTAAAGCAGTTGATCACTGTCAATTTCCATTCTCTGCTAAACAAAAAGACGTTTGCATAAATCCATACCACTATCAAAGAGTTGAAAGTCCAGGTAAAATTGTAAAGTATATAAAAATTCTTCAATGAATTTAGAAACATTTTTTGTTTAATAGTTTTACCGCCAGTACTAGTTCCTCGTCAAAGTGAATATGCTCCACAACAGACATTGCAGCAATATCAACCACCACCAATTGATGTTGGAATGCCAATTAATGTATCCATGAACACTGATGGATTTCCTGAAAATGTATTAACTACTAATCAAACTACATCTAATGTTCCCAATCAAATTTCTTCTACAAATAACATTAATCCTTTTTCAGATACTTCTCTAATAGGTAAAATATTTTAGAACAAAAGTTAAATAATTATACACGCTCTATTTTAACATATACATGTATATATATTTCAGAGAATACTTCATTTTCTTCTACAGAAGATCCAAACAAAATAAATAATATCGACAAAAATACCAATTTAGAAGATCTTGATGGTATTCCAATAGTCTATCAAGTAATATATGTTTTTGGTTATTAATTGTTAAAGGCTAGATATTAACATTTTAAGTTTTGGTAGTTTTCATTATTAAAATAAAAATAAAAACAGATATTATCAAATAATAATTGTTTTAATGTTTAAAATTTTAAACATAAATAGATACCTTTTATTATTAGTAAATTATTTAATTATATTTAACTATAAAGAAAAAAATTATTACTTTAAAAAAAAAAAAAATGTTTTTAAAACAATTCAACTCATATGTTTGTTTGTTTATACCTAAAGATACTCTGCACTTATATTATTTTAAATTGAGATGTAAAAGTAACTTCTAAATATTTACCAAATAAAATCTTATAAAATATATAGGTATTTGACATAAATATTACAGTATGATGACATTAAAACAAATTAAACATAATATGACGTATTTAGTTTTTATTTTTCTCTGGTCATAAATATATAAAACTTTAATAATTTGTTATTAAATTAAATCAACTCAAGAAATTTTATGATTTAAAACTTTTTATGTAAATAACAAATTTCAATACTTATTAGTTATTACATTTTCTTTTCAGGAGCAACCTTGTTGGGCTAGTATAGCATATTATGAACTCAACTCTAGAGTGGGTGAAGTTTACCAGTGTCATTCTCCTCATGTGGTTGTGGATGGTTTTACAAATCCTAGAAATGATTTAAATCGATTTTGCCTTGGTCAATTGTCTAATGTAAATCGTAATTCAACTATTGAAAATACTAGACGACATATAGGCAAAGGTGTGAATATATTTTATTTTAGTTTATCAAAATTAAATCTATTTCAGTACTTAAAATACATTTTTTTAGGTGTTCAATTGTATTATGTAGGAGGTGAAGTCTTTGCTGAATGTTTATCTGACTCTGCTATATTTGTTCAATCACGTAATTGTAATCAACACCATGGTTTTCATCCATCTACAGTGTGTAAAATACCACCAGGTTGTTCTTTGCGTATATTTAACAATCAAGAATTTGCTGGTCTTTTGTCACAATCAGTTAATCATGGATTTGAGGCAGTTTTTGAATTAACCAAAATGTGTACAATACGTATGTCATTTGTAAAAGGTTGGGGGGCTGATTATCATCGTCAAGATGTAACAAGTACACCATGTTGGATTGAGATACATTTACACGGACCTTTACAATGGCTTGATAAGGTATTAACACAAATGGGAAAACCTCATGATGCTATAACATCACATTCTTAATTTTAAAAACTGTTTTTAAAATTTCATTTGATGATTCCTATGGTAACTTTTATTTTATAAAGTATATTTTTTTAATACTTTGTGAAACTATTTAATTGAAGATTTAACTTGTAGATAAATATAAATATAATTTAAGTATATATATTTTTATATTATCATAATTATTTTGAAATAATTTTAGTAAATACAATTCATATGTAAAAATTGCTTCAATTCAATAATAAATAAAAAATGTTAATGTATCTAAACTCTTATTTTTTTAAATAACTTTTCAGAAAAATGCATGTTTAAATAATTATATTTAAGGTTGCGCTTTAGTAATTAACCATTTTTTTTTTTTTTTTGTTTGTGAAGTATGATTTTTTTATTGTTATTGGAAAAATAAAGAAACAGTAATAAAATACAATAATGATATATCAAGATATTTATTTACCATTAAATTTATAAATTTAAGCAAGTGACTTATTTGTTTTAAATTGAATGGTTATATATAACTTATATATAAACACTGTAGGATCTGTATAACCAATTGTTTTATTTTTAATATATTATTAATTACCATGTATAACAAATATTTACTATTTATTGATTATTAGACATTTTCTGGTAAATTAAACTCTGTTATGTGGCTTTGCATGGCGCGTTGGCTGCTTCCAGTTGCAGAATGCAAGTGCAACTGAGAGTAAGTAACGGCCACAGCTACTAGCTCCCGGATGAGTGACCACTCGGGATCATAGTGGTTAAAAACCTTGCCACACATACACGTGTTTACTATCAACCATAACAATCATAAAAATACAACCTACTGTACCAACCTTACCCCCTACCACAGTTCATAATCCCTACAAACAGCTAATGGCTCTAGTTGCCGGGCTAGAGTTCAATAAAAAAAAAAATAAAATAATAATAAAATTTGTGATTGTATTTAAATATAAAAACAGGTCAGCTTAGCGTTATATTTTTTTAATAGGTATTCGTTTATATGTGACCTACCGAGCATAAATCAAGTTTAGTATATAACCTACCTGTTTATGGGCAGTATTGAAAATTAAAATCCTACTAAAAATGTGTGGAACATCAGCTGAAATGTTGCCACATCATTTAATTGAGGTATGATACTGATCTATTATTAAATAAGATACAATTTTTTTTTTAATTTTAGAGGGATATATAAAAAGTATATTGCTAAGCATAATTTTTAATAAAATATATTTAATGACATTTTTTTTTCTCGAATTTTGTTGACTGATTTTGAGTGTAATTTGTCATCAGTATAGGTCAGAATAATATTCCCTTAAAATAGCCAAAATAAGATGCTAAATTCCTCAAAAAAATTGTAGTTAAATATGCAAAAATTATGCTTTTACAGTAATGTATTCTACTAAATTCAAAATATGCTTTTATATTAAAAAAAAATAAAATCTAATTGATACATAAAGGTCATTAATTATGATACAATTCTATAAGTTTACTGAATTATTTTTTTTATTTATTTATTTAAATAAACAATTATAGGTAGGTACCTTATAATTTAACTAAAAAAAAAATGTTAACTTAACATTTTATTTACTCATTCCATATTGTTATTCCATTTATGGTTATCTCAATAATAACGGACTAAAAACTTTTTTAATATTATTAATAATTTTTGTCCCTACAACACAAAATATTCAAATTCTATAAAATTAGTCGATATATCCTCTAATATTCTTTTTTATACAAAATATTCTCAAGTATACAAAAGAATTTTTGCCATTGAATTATATGATTCACAATTTTTATAGATTTCAAAATAAAAATTTGATTGCATAGACTCAAAAAAAATATGCAAAAGAATATTATTCCGATCTCTGATAATCATCAGTAATGATAAAATAACCTAATTTTATGATTTTTAAATTAATTATCGGTTTGGTAGGTCACGCATGTCGCATACAAAACAAATTCCCTACACATTAGATACTAAGAGAATACTAATTTTTTAATCTATAAAACTAATTAATATAATTAAATTTGTTCTACAAAACATAACCCACATTTTTACATTTAATAAAAATCGCCATGACTTCTACAAGAGTAAAAGTAACTTTGTAATCAAGACATTAAATATTACCAAGACCTAAGAAATATATTTAAAACAAGTGGGCAATGATTTCTAATTATACTTAAGGAAAAGATGATTTGGGAATATATTTTAAAATCCTGAAAATAAAAAGAAAATAGGTACCTTCTTATACATGTCATGGGCACATGTAGAGAATTGATTTGTTGACTATATTATTAACACTTCAAAATATACTGTGCATTACTAGTTACATTATTTTATCTTGTACGTAAATAAATATTAAATGAATAAATTGACTTAAAACAATTTAATGCAGTGTTAAACTTTGAAAGTCTAGTTATAAAAAAAATGTAATAGTTACAATAAAGATAAGTATTAAATAATTAGCTACAATTTGATAAAAAAAATTGTTTAAGATGAAAGATTTTAAATTATCTATACATACCAACAAACAGTAGTTATTTTTAAAGTTCTAATCAAAGAAATCTATAAATCGCTTAAAAAAATAAATTCTATTGTATACATTTCAACTAAATATGTATAATTATATTTAAGATTAAAGTCTTGTAATATTCCCAATACTAAGATCGGTGATCTAATCTCTTATTTTAAATTAATCAAACCTAAATTTGTTAAAATAAAATGTGTTATTTATTTTTATATTTTGTATTAAATCATGAGATTTTAAAACCAACAATGTTAAATTAAACAAAATATAAATTCTTATAAATATTTCATAGTAGTATATTTCAAAAATAATACTTGAACTATTTCATTACATGGAATTATTTTTATTATTATATCTTAAAGTTTAAAGTAAGAACTATAATATTTATTCAAGTTTAAACATTGAAAATTTGATTTTATACTTAAGTATTTACTAAATAATAATTTTAATTTAAATGGGCATTAAATGATTAAATAATCAAAAATCTGTTTCGAAATCTTTTTCTAACAGGTATATTAATATATAAATTGATTATTTCAATAAATATAAAAATATTACTTAATGTAATTATAATTAAAAAAAAAAAAAATTAACAAATAATTATTTAAATTGTACAATAATGAGCTTATTTTTAAAATTAAATTAGTTATTTACCAATTTTATGAATAATAATTATGTCTTGATCGGTCAGAACCCCCTCTATTGTAACTTCTATCATGTCTTTGACCACTGTATTCATTGTTCCGTTTGTAAGGATGATAAGAATTATTCTGACGATTGCTAGATTCCATATTCTGATGATTGTTGTACTTATTATTGATAGGCCTATTTTTATCGCGTCTATAACCATCAATATAATTATTTGAAAATTCACTTCCATATTCATGAAAATCATTATGTGATTTATCTTGGTTATAATTTCTATCAGTATAATGATTTAGATGTTTTGAATTTGATTCATTGTAACGCTCAGAATTGTAGTTATTTTTACAAGGTTCTTTATTTGAGAAATTACTATCACCATGTGTATTCTGATTTCGTACTGAACATCGATTATTAGAATCTGATTCAAAGTGTCCTAGATTTTCATACCTACTTTTCTTATTATGGTACATTGACATAGGTTCATGAAAATATGCAGAATCTTTCTGATTAAATGATGTATAATCATGATGTTTATGATCATTATTTGGATTATGATAATATGAATCCTGTTCATAGTTAAACATGTCCGTTGAACCAGAGTTACTGTTGTGTGCAGATTTTTTATAATGTTTTTGATTGTGGTGAGATTTATCAATTGGATAATGTTCACCACTATTCATTGAGTTATGATGTTTGGTATGACGAGCATTATGTCTATATTTACTTAAGTTATCTTTAGAACTACATCTATGATCATAATTATCTTGATTTTTTCGAAGACCACGTTCTTCGTGCATAGGTGGTTCAGGCAAACTTTCTGGAATGTTTTTTTCATCTAAACTTTGATCAATCCAATTACTTTCAGTTGAACCATTGTTTTGTTCAACCTTGATTAGTTGTTTAAAATAGTTAAGTTGATCATTAAAAACAGGATCTTCAAAGTGTTTGGAGTAATCTTTTGTTATTATTGGCAACCCATATAACTTAGTGCCTTTAAAAAATTTTAAACTATCTTCTACTGAACTTGAATGTTTGAATACAACCAAAGCAAAGTTTTCACATATTTCATTTTCGTCAAATGCAAATTCCACATATTCAATTGGCCCCACCTGAACAACAATCAAAAAGATATATGTTGAAAAATCTAATTAATATTAATTTATTTAATATTAAATATTTTAACTCACAAAATATAAAACAAACAACATATTGGTTAAAAAATCAAAAATAAACAAAAATCAAAAACTAATATATTTAAAATAACAATAGAATAGGTACTATTATATTGGCATATGTTTAGAATGTCATATAAAGAACAAGATAACTATAATATCACATTATTCTTATAGTTGGAAATTAGTTAGATAATCTTGGGTAATAACGATTTACCAACCCAATATTTTATGTTTAGCCAAAAAAACAAACTATAAATGAAATGCAAAAAACAAAATAGTTTGTTTATTATAATTTATAAGCATTAAATTTACTTATTATTTTTAAATTAACCTAACCGATAGTAAATTATTGATTTATGTATTTTAAACAATAGTAATAATAAAGAAATATAATTCATCATAATAAAGCCACAAAAATTTATAAATTTATGTAAACATTATAATTAAAATTTGATTAAAATGATATTATTGGAATTTCTCCTATTTCCAACTACAAGTATTTATTACAATAATAATAATATTTTATCTAATTGTTTACCTATTTAACAACCAATAAAATTTAATTGAAATTGTATAATCGTAAGTTATTTTATATGCATTATAATTACCTGAAAAAACAGTTCAGCTATATCTCTGCTGGATACTTTTGGATGAAGATTACCCACCCAAAGGGTTCTATCACTTCTATCAATTTCATCGTTACTTGTATCATCAGCAAAATCCATTATAAAATAATATTAATGTATTACTTTCAACTAAAAACATAGATCAATAAACAATTTGATTTAATATTTTTTCAAACGTGAGGTAAATATAATATGAACATTTAAATTTTAAACTTACTTTGGCTTAAGAATTTACGACTATTCAGGTAATAATCAATTAGATAGTACACGAATTCAAATTACACAATCTATAATAAAAAGAAGATGGAAGTATATGTATAAGACAAACTGACAATATAATATTTTAATTTACAATAAAGGTGCTACACCAAAAAATAACATCAAACATGAATCATCAATGTCCAATGAGTCGATAGAAAATGTAACAAATAATGTTAATTACTTATTTGTTTAAAATTTGAGACATAGACATATTCTAAATAATAAAATAAATGTTATCAAGTTTCAGGTATCATTCATTGTAAATCACTATTGTTAAAATACGCTCGTCTTTAGCAACGTATATACTATGGCACTATGCACTATGCAGGCGTGCAGTTGCACCATCTATAAATTATAAAAGCATATTCTGCAATTTTGCTATTTACCTATGTGTTCTTCAAAATTGGTAAGCAACTGTATACAAAATGTAAACACTATAAACATTTAACATTGCACAATGTCAAAGACAAATAGGAAATAGATATTACCAAATATAGCAAATACCAAATTGTCTACGATATCACTCTTCAATTTAATTTATTGAAGTCATCATAAACGGTAATAAGTTTTAACATTATAACGCGGTTTTAACTTTATAAGTATGATAAAATAAATAGGTACGATTACTACGATCAGTCACAGATTAAGACATATTCACAGCTCACCATGATACACAATATCGGGAAATCTGAAAAATGGTGGGAGTTAGCGTCGGGTTACATTAATTGTTGATAATATGGTATGGTATTTTTTTATTACACATATAAAGGTATAACAATAATAACCTCAGATCATCAAAGATGATATAAAGATATATCAAAATACGTGGTTGTCTTCCATAAATCCTCTTTTTGGCGCGCGAATGATTAAAATTTGATTTGTTGTGAATTGTGATCGAACCTAACAGATAAGTCAAAATAATATGTCCCATACAATTATTGTACAATAAACAATACCTAGATCATATACTTTGTAAGTGTTCACATTTTGTCCCTATGACTTACGAGCAGTAGTCAGTAGTCACTCACTCACTCAACGACCTTGCTTAATACTATGTGCTTATTGCTTATAAAGATGTTCAAGATAAACTTTAAGTCGTCCTACTTATTTAAAGAACAGTGAACAGTAAGGTCTTCCGAGGTTTAATGTTTAAGGACAATACCCTATTAACCTATTAGCAATATTAGCTATTGTGGCCCTATTCCCTATGGATATTAATTATTTTATATTTTTTATGATATATTATACTCTATAACTGATGCATTGTATAATGTTGCAAACTTGCAGCTTCTACTTCCTAAAAAGTGGCGAGTAATGAGTATTAACTTCCCTTCTAATTCTATATAACTAATATTGAAAATAGAAATAAAAAATAATTTGAAAGTTCACGTTATCATTGAAAGTTAAGTTTTCTTTTACTCGTGTTTAATAATCTCTCTCCACTTTCCACTACATATAGTCAATTTTCTATATCTATGGTGGAGACACACTGTAAAAAATATATTTACAATACATTTAAATAGATAAACAATACACAAACAATTCATAGATAGATAATATTATTATTTTTACTATAAATTATAAATTATAATATTATAATATTATCTATAATCTATGATTATATTATATTCTGTGGACTGTGACTATTTCATATTTTCATATTTCATGTCACAAAATTAACGATAAGTTATTCCATTGGTCATTTTAGTATTATCACAATATAAGTATAATCAATGCATTAATGTCATACAAATAAATATTAAATTGGCATGATAAAGATTAAAGAATTATTAACAAATATTTTAAATTTCTGAACATAAAACAATTTTTATCAATTAAACTACTAATAATATACGTTATTAATTTAACTAAAATAACTGTGATCTAGTTTAACTTAAATATATAAACATTTTATATATATATTTTAAATGGCTTCAAAAAAGTCAATGAGTTTAGCAAAAGTGAAAGACGAATTAGTTGATGGTGTATACATCAGACCATCAAAGAAAAAAGTAACTTATTAATGTTTTATGATTTTATCTATGTATATGTAATATATACACAAAAAATTAATCATATTATTTGTTTAAAAAAAAGATAATGACATCTCAAATTGTCACTAATGACGAGTTAACAAATTTGATTCAAGAACGTTTGGCTAATCGACGTACCGGTGAACGAACAGAATTTGCTAATCAATTAGCTAGAAAACTAATTAAGAAGTAAGCAAAATAATGTTTGGCAATTTACGTTTATGATTTTAATTTGGATATTTGCAGGACTATCTTTGAAGTCTATTGATAATAATATATAGAATATGTTAGTTATCGAGAATATAGACTTAATCTTAGTTGCTTCATATAATTTGTTAGAAATCATTGACTATAATAATGTGTGTTATATTTTATCCTTGTATTGTATTATTTACACTCCAACTATTCAATTAATTAGTATTTAATGGTAGTTGATGTATTTTCACATTTTGTTTATTAGAGTAGTATTGAATGTTCAAGGAAATTTATCTATTAATAAAATAAATATTATAATAAATATACCCATATTATTCTTTATAGATATTTAAATAAGGCATAATTAGTAGTTTTGAAACTGACAAATATTTTATTTATTGATAAACCAACTAAGTTTTTAAGTTTTGGGTTAAGAATATTACTATTAACTTAATATTTAAATATATAAAAGAAAAGAATCATTATAGAAATTAAAAAAAAATAGTACATAGTAATTTTATAATATAATTTGCTCTTGAAAATGTCAACAGCACATTATAGTTCTATTTCATAAATTACTAAAAAAAAATAGATAATTATTAAACATTTTAATGGGAGATGATTTGAGCATAAAATTTATACTTGTTATATGATGCAGTTCATATTTTACTTAGATATTAATGTAAAAAAAGAAAATATTTTAATAAGTTATTTCTTATGTACCTAATATTTTATTTTATTTTTAATTTAATTAGATTACACGATCAAGATGCAAAACTTCGAAAAACTAATGGTAAAAAAAGAGGTGGATTGGTTACTCAAATTAAAGATGAAAAAAGTAAGAGCTAACTTGATAATTATAATAATAATGATTATTTAACAAATTACAATATGTGTTATTAGAATTGATGTGTTTTAAATAACAGTAAAATTTTACTTTAAACATTAGGTGGTCACTTAAATATGAAAATATGTAAAGAAGAAGTTCTTTCTGAATCTGATTTAATTGATGATTTTGATGCAGATAATACTCCTCCTCCTGTAATTAAAAAAATAATTTTTATTGAGTAAAATTAAATTTGGTTATTATGCTAAAAATCTAATTAAAATTTTAAACATTTTAGAAAAAACGTGATCCACCTAAAATGACTTGTAAAGAAATGGCAATGACAATTATAAATTGCAAAAAAATATTAGAAGACAAAACAACATTAGATAAAAAAGTTGCAAATAAATTTACTTGTGCACTCAAGTCAAGATTAGCTCATAAGTGAGTTATATTATAAAATTAATTTTATGAATGTACAATTCTCATGATATTTTTTTGTTTTTTACAGATTAAAAAAAAAACCAAATGCTTCAAATAAATAATTTAATATATTATATTTGTATGTCTATCTTATTTATTCTGTTCACGGAGTTATATACATTGAAATTTAAGAATATCTTTTTATGTGTAAATTATTTTTAAAATTGCAACTGTTCATCTATAAGGTTTCTACAATCCTGTAAACATAAACAGCCCCTGAAAATAAAATGTCATTCCACATTGAGCTTCTTTGAAGTTGACAAATCATTTTCTAGAAAAGCGTGAGTATTTATTTATTAAAACCCAATTTATACTAATTTTAGTTACCAACAACTGCTCTAAGGTAAATATGATACTGGGTGTAGGAAAATCTTTAGTTTACTAAAAAGTGTTTATATTTATTTTAATTGTATCATAGGTTAATATTTATTCATTTTTAACAATATTATTATTGCATTTTAACTTTTTATTATTTATATAGCTTATAATAAATAATATTATAGATACGCTACATCTATACAATTTTTTATTGCTCATAATTTTAATTTTGATTCTTCTCACTAATTATGGTAAAATTAGTTGGGAAATATGTATCTATCTACTTTTCTCCAACTTTTATGCGCTACAAGTGAATCAAATCTAAATTAATATTATGAGTGATAAATGATAACATTGAAGTTATATTGTGTATGTAAAATATTATTTTTAATCTATGCTATTAAGTAGTTTATACTGATTTTATGTACAATTTATTTTTATTTTTTGTTAATTTTAAATTATCAAGTTCTTTCTTTATGAGTTTAATTATTATATTAATTAATATGTAAATTACCAATTTGTAAAGTTTTTCTTTAAGTTATTTTTTCAATAATATTGTATACAAATAAAATTCATATATTATTATAATAAATCTTAAGAATGATTTTATATTGTACCTATTCAATTAATAATAGAAAAAATAAATATTTTAAACTGTATATAGTATACATATTATATATTTTAAATAATTTTAATATTATTGTAAAAAAAATTTAATTTATTTTTAAATTAAGTAAACATTTATTGTTCCAGTATATTGTGTTCAAAAATAAATAATATTTTGTGTATTTAATAATATAAAATAATAATTTTTAACAGTTTAGAGTTTAGACTGAGTAATTAATTATTATAATTATTTTCAAATAAACCAGTATCCTGTGTTATTATACTTACCACTTATTGTTCTATAGTGAATGAAGTTGTTTTGTGTTTAAATGTTAAAAAATTATAATTAAATATTAACCTTTGAATAGGTATTTTATATTGAGCACGACAAATCATGAAATGATATGAAACATTGTGTAAGTAAATGAGTGTCAGGGTAGATCGTAATTCCATAGAGCACCCTACCTTTAATCAATAAAAAGGATGTCTTCAAAAAATTAAGCACTGTGACATGCAAATATGAGATTGCTATATAATTTAGACAGGTAATGGATAGGTTTATAGATTCAAATATATTCGCTATAGTATACCTACACAATTAAAATAACTATTCAATATTATATTTTTTTAAATATTAGGTATAGGCACTAAATGTATTAAATTAAAATGGACAATAGTACCTATGTATTAACACACAAATACACAATATTAACAAATGAATTAAAATTGGTATTGTTTGTGGTATATATTTTTTCAAGAACTTTAACAATTCCCAATATTTGGTCCAACTTATATGAATCGATATTTACGAGTTACGACCATAACAAATTAAAATATGTATCGTTCATGCCTAATGCATATATCCCACCTATAACATAATTATACATTCATATTATATGAAATTAAATTTTATTGAATTTTAATAATTTATATTCAATTTGTAAGTTTGGAATTAAACAATTTAATACATTTATACACGACTATATATGTTTGCAAATAATTAAAATAAGTGGAAGATTTCTTTCAGTGAAGCCTTTAGCGCCAATTTTTATTAAAAATTATTTTATTTTGAGAAAAATCATCAAACAACAAACATGGCAATACCATAAACGAGACATTACCATAAACATTTATACCGGTGAATACTGGTGTTCGGAGTGGATGAATTTAATTTTCGATGCATTGTCGTTTCGTTAAAGATTTTAAGGTTATACTTATATTACTCGGACAAAATTAAATAATCACGTAATACCATAGAATAATTTATTAAATGATAATGAATTATTTATTTAGTATTTAGTATTTACTATTTACTAATAAGTAATAGTAATTAGCAATAGCTTTAGCTATTATATTATAGCGCTTGTCTCTTACTAAAAGTTGTAAATTGTGAAGATTTTCGTTTCTTAAACCTTTAAGTGTGCAGTTTCATATATTAATCACTTCAAAATGGTAAAGTATTAATTTATTATGTCTCAAACAAATTACATTGCTATTAATAGTTATATACTACAATACATTATATTATGTGTTTTGATACAACAAAAAATATTTAAAATTTAGTAAAGTATTTTAATGTTCAAAATAACTCCCATTGTTGAATGTTGTAATAGGTACTTGTAATGATCAAATTGCATACATTAACAATAATTTATCAAATACTTTAAAAGTTGTTAGGTATGTTTAAAAAGATAATAGTTATAATAATGACAATTAAAAATAGGATTTAAACATATATAATAGAATTATAAATTATAAATACCTAAAAAAAAAAAAACCATACTAACTTTATTTTTAACACATTTCTATTCAGAAGGTAAAAATTCAGTCTATCTATATCTAATTAATTAGGTTTTCGTATTATTTTAGGGATAATTTAATCAAGTGTTCTTTTAAAAAATATATTGTTCTGTGTCACTGTGTCAAAATACAATTTTTATTTATTATGTGTTGTTTATAGACTAGAATTGTTTCTTAATTGTTTATAGAGTATCATGGACTATAATGGTGGTGCCTTAATTGGCATGAAAGGTAAAGACTGTGTTGCAATTGCAACTGATAAGCGATTTGGTATACAAGCCCAAACAGTTTCTCTTGATTTCACAGTATGTTGTTTATTTCTTTATTATTACTTCTTGTTATTACCTATATTTAATTGTTTTAGTTTTGATTATAGAAAGTTTTTCAAATAAATCCTCATACATATATGGGATTTCCTGGTTTAGCTACAGATATATTTACCGTATACGAGAAAATAATGTTCAGAAAAAGATTATACGAGTTAAAAGAAAATCGAAAAATATCTCCTAAAGCTCTAGCATCTCTGGTCTCTAATTTGTTGTATGAAAACAGGTAAGTTATCTTCAAATAAAAAAAATTAATTGTAATTTTTGATTTAAATAAATTTAATTAATATTATTAATTCTCCTTTAAAATCTTGTTTACTGGGTCTTATAAAGTTGAGAATCATTATTTTCAATGATTTTTTTACAAATATATGCATTGATTAAACTTATTCTAAAAATACTATGTACAACTTATTTGTCCACTATCTATCAATCACAACATAATGTGAAGTTATTTCAAATCAGGGCTTATGTTTTATACTTAAACATTAAGTTGTATATTCATAAAATACCATAAAAGTTGATAAATTTTAAAACATGAATATTTAATGTGTAATAACTTTTTTTAACATTTCATACTGACTGTTGATTTATAAACCCAATGATGTGCTTAAGGCAGCTTTTTAAGGTAATTGCTTTAAGACTAAAATAAGTTGGTGGATAATTGGGTACCAAGCAGTGAACTTAGTGTGATAAAATCTTTTATAATAATTATTAAAAACTGTGGGTGCATGAGTGATCAAATAGTAGCTTGCCTCAGGTCTGAAAATTGTTCAGCATACAATTGGATATACCTGTCAAAATTGTTTCTATTTTATTATTATACAATAATGTATAATAATTCTTACTTAATCTATAGTATATATAGTTTTTATTAATTATTATGTTTTCTACTTAACAGATTTTCACCATTTTTCGTAGAACCAATGATCGTTGCTTTGGATGAAGTGACATTGGAACCATATATGTGTGATATGGATTTAATTGGTTGTGTAAATAAGTCTGATAACTTTGTAGTTGGAGGTACTAGTTCAAGCCAATTATACGGTCTTTGTGAAGCTCTTTGGGAGCCTGATATGGAAGAGGATCAACTATTTGAAACTATCTCACAAGCTTTAGTCAGTGCTTGTAATCGTGATGCCATTTCCGGTTGGGGTGCAAAGGTTTACATTATGTGAGTAAAACTATTCTGTTTAAAAAAGTTTAACAATTATTTTTTATTTAAGTGTTTTGGTAGGTAATTTAACAAATCATTTTTTATATTTCAGTAAAAAAGACAAGATAATTGTGCGTGATATCAAGACGCGTATGGATTAGGTGTTGGAACATACCAATTTCAAATTGTACACATTTTTCTCATAAAAATTGTTATTCTTTTGAAAAACTATAAATGGGATAAAAATTAAATTTATAATAAAATAAAGTAATTTATTTTGTAATTTGAGTATTTAAATATTAAGAATATTTTTAAAAGTATATTAAGCAAAAATTTTCTCTTCTCGTCTTTTTTTGGGCATCATTACAGTGCCAGGTTTATGCTGTGCTTCTGGATGATTTGCTAACTCTGGAGGACAAGTCGATACTGGACTAGCTTGTATAACTTGTTTGAGATCATAAAACAATGGTGAATCATCTTTTGTTAAAAATGTAATTGCTACTCCAGTTTTTCCAGCACGACCCGTACGTCCAATACGATGAGTATAATCTAGAAAAAAAAGAAATTTCCAATTATTTATTGTTAGTCATTTTTTGATTAATATATTGGTATACAGCAGTATCTTGGTGATCCAGTTAGTCCAGTAATCCGGCTATATTAACCTATATTTATCTGTCAAATAACCATAAAATTACTATCGTAGACAATATTTAAAACTTGGATAAAATAAAATACTAACTGATAAATCTGAGTAAACTTATTATCATTTTATTTCTATTCAATTAACATTGACGTGTTGTGTATATTCATTGTTATCGGTTAGATATTATATTGTATTACGCACATGATACATGGAAATTTAAAATGTAGCAACAAAGAAAATAGAAACACACTACTTTAACTTAGGTCAAGAAACTCAAAAATTTTAAATTAAATAAAAGCGGTGACAAATTAGTAAATTTTGCTAACAAATTTGAAGTAGGCCGTGCTACAATAAAACATACCAGAAAATTTTTTTTTTCTAAAACAAAAAAAGTTTAAAGAGTGCGCAAAACATTAAAAACTGATTAGTTTTCTGAAGTTGAAGATGCCTTGTATTTATGATTTTTATAAGAATGTAATTGACATACATCAATTGTTATTTTTGTTGATATTTTATAACGGAAAGCTAATTCAATGAGTAAAAATTTGTTTATATGTGAACCCCTATTAATATGGCAGTTTTGTTAATTCGACAGTACCCTGGTCTGATATCTTATAGATTACCGAGATTTTACTGTACTTTTCAAAAAGCACGTTAAATTACCTTCAATGGATTTAGCCATGTCATAATTGATGACCATAGACACATCTTTGATATCAATACCACGACCAACCACATCAGTTGCAACCAAAATATCTTTTTGGCCACCTTTGAGACTTGCCAAAGCAAACTCTCTCTGTTCTTGTCCTTTACCACCATGGAGTGTACATGCATTATACTAAAACAAAAGTAATTAATTATACTTTATTTCTGAGCCATATTACCCAAAAATGTTATTTATAAATAGACATTATATTTACCCCAAGTTTCTCTAGACCCTTGGCCAATACATCAGCACCTTTCTTTTGATTGACAAATATAATAATTGGTGGATCAACTTTACGACTGAGGATTTCAACAAGTCTTTTACGCTTATCATTTTCACTCATCATGTGGACTATTTGTTCTGTACGTTCTACAGGTTTACCAATGGATCCAATGTAAACAACAGCAGGACGACGTAAATATGTTCGAGCCAAACGTTCCACTGCTGGAGGCATGGTAGCCGTAAACATCACAGTCTAGGAAATCAACACAATTATAAGTTATCAACATTTTTCATCCATTTAAATTGTACTTACTTGTCTATATTTTTTTTTGGAATAATAATTTGCTAATAATTTGGACTCATCTTCGGCATCTTCATTATCTGGCTTCAAATTTGTAACTGGCATGTACTCTAAAATCTTTTGCACATCTGGTTCAAAACCCATGTCTATCATCCTGTCAGCTTCATCTAATACTATATATGTGCATTGATTCAAAACTAAATATCTGTTTTCTAGAACGTCAATCAAACGACCAGGTGTTGCAATAACAATCTACAGAACATTTAAATTGTGTAAAATATAAAGTAAAAAGATAATAAATTTGATAATAACATATTAATTACTTCACATCCTAATCGTAATCTAAATCCTTGTTCTTCTCTAGACAAACCACCGACAACAACTACAGTTCTAATACCCAACGGCTGTCCGAATTTTAAAGTTTCTTCTTCTATCTGTTGAGCTAATTCACGAGTTGGTGCCAATATAATCGAATAAGGACCCTAAACATATTTAAAATGCAATTTTCTCAATATTCCTTGAATATTTTAATAAAATAAAATAATAATCATCATTACTTGATCAACATCTTCCATTCGTTCCATTTTAGGTAAAGATTGAATCCATTCAATAAGTGGTATGAGGTAAGCCAAAGTTTTACCAGAACCAGTTTCAGCAACACCAATAATGTCACGATTCTATAAATAATAGTGAATAAAAAAATATAAATATAAATTTGAAAATAAAACTATTTACCTGGAAACCAATGGGAATAGCTTGTCGTTGAATAGGTGTAGGATCCTTGTAACCAACTTTTTCAATGATGTCCATAATCTCACTTTTAATTGTAGACTCTTTCCATTTACGAATAGGTTCTGGTATTCTACCACCTTAAATAAAAAATTAATAATTACTTTAAAATAAAATTGAAAACATTCTGAATTAATTTCTTAAATACCTTTAATAGTTATATTATAGTCCTCTCTAAATATTCTCCAATCCCTCTCAGTCATTTCATCCAATTCTTTTTCTGACCAATGTCGGTCATCCCATTTCTGCTTATCTTCTTTTCGTTTTACTTTTTTCAGCCTAACCTTTTCTTGTTCTTTTTCAGCTTCAGTCCTACGTTTTTCCATGAGTTCACCATAAAATTTGGACTGATCTTTTTTTTGTGCTTTAATGTCAATGCCTGCTACATTACCACGACCAAAAAACTGTACTTGATGACGCTCCTTGTATAGAGCGTTATAATCAATTGAAGTATCTTCAGACGCGTCCCAATCAAAAACAAATTTTCTATCATTCAGCCGACGAACACGTCGTTTTTTTTTTGTTAAGCCTAAATAACGTTCTCGTATGGCTTCCTGTTCTTTCTCTTTATCTTTGTACAATTCCTTGTCTTCAGGTTCTTCTTTTTTATCTCTCTTACGTTCTCGTTCCCGACGGTCATGTTCTTTATCCCTTTCGCGTTCACGATCTCGATCGCGATCTCTGTCCCGATGGTGCTCTCTGTCACGATCTCTGAAAAAAAAAAACTATAAGTGATATCTAACTAATATTGATTAAATTATAGCAAAGCAGTCCTTACCGATCATCTCTGTGATTATTACTGCCATGTCCACCATCTGCCTGATGCAAGAATTCTAAGCGTTTCTTGCGTTCTTCTTCTTGCTTTTTCTTCACTAGCTCACTTTCCTCTTGTCTTTTTCTCAGGGCTTCAGCAGCTCGTTGTTCTTTTGTCAAAAACACTGGCTGAAAGTCATTGAAAAAACTAACATAAGCAACTCCGCAAGCAAAATCAACCGAAAGTGTGCTTACCTTGCTTCTGGCCAATTCTTCGGCTTTCTTCTTGGCCAAAAGTTCTTCAAGGGATAGAGGTTCTTTTTTATCCGACTTTGACACTGGTGTCGGACTGGTCGAAGAGGTTTTGCTATTGTCCATTTTTTACAGATTCCGGACGAATCGCATAAACTTACACTTATCGTGTACCCCACGGCCCACTATTTAATCCCAACTAAACCAAGATCGGTATTTTTAATATTATAATCTTTAATTACGGTCCCATGTAAATAAACTTATAACGCACGCTATCGTTTTCTGTTCAAACTGTATACAAAAAAGTAAAAACATCATGTTTTTATTTCTTATCTGTTATCAGTTCTGTGTCGATGCTAAATAACAAGTCTTAAATTATAATCATGGATTGGTTGGTTGGCGGGTTGATAATGCTGATCGTCAAAAAGTTTCTTCCCTGCAACACAACTATTTTTTTTTTTTTTTTTATAACTAAAAGTAGAATTCGAGTACTAAATACTAATGCACTATCTACCTATCTCTAAATTAAAAACAGCGGCCGGCTGAGATACTATTTATAATCTAAACAATTTAGTGCTATTAAAGTTGTACGTAAACGTAGTATTACTCTATGATCACGATTTAAGATATTATACCGTATAAGTTATAAATATATTTAATCGTGTCTATGATCATTGATGTTAAACGTAATCACGATTAAATATCCTTAAATGTCTTTGATTGAGTTGTATATTTCATAATTTAATTTTCATTAATAACAATGATAACACATTCGTTCCCAGTCCTGCTTCCCGAGTCCATATATTAAATTCCTTATTAGTAATTACTAATTATTGAACGGGATTTATTGACAAATATGTTCTGTTCAGTGTTTACCAATTTACCATGTTAATCTGTGTTTATCGAATGATAGATAAAAAGTATTTAGTTCATAGTCATGCCCATGTTATGTAAATTTTGTAATAAAATTGTCAAACTATGCCTAAATAGCTATTAATCAACAAGAAAAAAAATTTTAAAATATTCATAGCTTGCAGAAAAAAAAACCTTACTCATTCTAAGTCTGTACTACAATTTTCAAAAAGAAACATGACGTGATACAACTGATACAAGGTAGTTAAAAATTAAAATCAAATTCCGATACAGAAAGATACATTTTTACTGATATAAGACATAAATAGCTTCAAAAGCTTGTAAATGCTTTATATTGAATCAATATATATTGATACACTTAAATTTCTATTTTACATATCTTGATATTGATACATGGTGAGCATTAGGTATTTAATAAAACATAAATTAATTAACATTTGTTAAACATTTTTAATCATACCAATAAATACAATGTTATTTAATTTGAATAATAGTATAATTATAATATTAATGATGCTGAGTAACTAAAAGTATAAAATATATTAATAGGCGGTAGGACTATTATTTACCTAAATAAAAATTAATAAATAATATACACATAAAATTTTAAAAAATATTACCTATATGTTGAATTCATTATTAATTAACTTTAATAAATATATATTAAACCATACAAATGTTAATTTTTTTTTTTTAATCCTATGAATAAGTTCCATAATTTATTAAGTGTAACTTAAATAATATATTTTGAATAATGTATGTAGTGTGTAAACCTACAACACAAATCCAATCAACAGAATTATAATATTTGTATAAGATTATGTTAACTTTAGAAGTTGATAATAATATGTAAACAATATTTCAGAAACAGTATAATTCGTAAAACTTTATAATTATTTTTAATAACTTGAACATAGCACATTTAGTAGTAACATAGAATTGTGTTCAACTCAATACTTATACGACACTTTTAAGCCTCAAGTATGATAATAAGCTATTTAAATTTAATAGGGCGGAGTTTTTAAAAAAAAAATTGTAGAGACCAAACATTCTATTATTTAAAGTAAATAAATAAATAAATAAATAAATAAATAAATAATAAGAAATTACTTGAGGGAACCATAATTTAAATTATCGAAAACAGATTTTCATAACACATTTAATAGGTGAATCAAAAATAACAAAAAGTTGAATGATTAGGCCAAATTTGATTTAATTTAGGCACAGTACTTTTCTATTTCAATAAAAGTAAGTCCAGTATGTTCATAAAAATATTGGAAGATCTTTTTTAATACAATTATTACTAATTACTAGTCGGATTAGTGGAATCTTTTGCATCAGACTTGGTATGTCGCTTCTGTAAGGCAGCAGTTAAATCTTGTCTCAAGGCTTCTTTATTTTCATCGTCGGCATTCAATGGCACTACACTTCGTAAACCATTCATTATGTCACATGTTTTTCCAAAATAAACTTCATTCAGAGTGTTACGCATTTTATTCTCCATGTCCTCAACCATACGTCCAATATTAGCTATTTGTGGTGAAGAATCCGACACTGGACTGTCCATTTCCGTTTGTCTGGTCAAACTACCTGCCAGGCTCATACTACCTGACACAGCTTTATTAGTTTGTAACCACAGCATAACAGTTGATGTGAGTTTATAATGTGCGTTACGTCCAGTATTTTTTTCTTGTACTTCCACTACATGTATAGAATCCCAAGTACCTCGTACTTTCTTAGATCCATCTCCTACCTTTTTAATCAATATAACACCTAAGAGAAAAAAGTATTAATAAATATTTATGTTTTTGTACAAAAATTAAAATATAGCAAGTTGAATTATCAAAGTCTATATTTTTTTTTTAGATTTTTATAAAATTATATGAAAAAGATTGTTAAGGGAGTAGTAATGGTAACCTAATTTTTATTTTTAACACTTTTTTTTTAATTTCCACTATAATAAGGGAAAAATTAGTGAAAAAAACAATTGAAATTTAATTTTAAATTATTAATTAAAGATGTTGTAAACAATTTAAGAAGCTATAAATTCAATCTTTAAATCAAAGTGCTAAGTGATTCTCAAAATATATTTCAAAAAAATAAAATTGTATATCTTAAAATAAGTAAATTTCAGATAAAATAACTAATACTTAAGTATAAATAATAATTTTCCAAATAAATTATTTCACTTTAAAAAGAAAAAAGTTTAAACATGATATGTAATGTTATGAATATTTTACAATTGAATAAAGACATAAAATCATCAGATTTTCAGATAATTTTGTATAATAAACTGTTAATAACTGTATTCCTATATTATATATTGTAATATTTAAATCACTACTATTCATTAATAGTAATTTGATTAAGTAGTTTAAAATCTACTCTATAACATTATAAAATTAATAATACATTTTTATTACCGGCAAAACCCTGATCTAAATCCCATAGGTAAACAGAAGACACACCACCTTCAAAATACATTTCTCTATATTGATCAAAAGCCATATTAGCATCTATTTCAAGCTTGCGTAATTTTTCAGTTGGGACAGCACCATCATCCAGCGGTGGAAAATATGTATTACTCCAGGGTGATCTAAATAGATGACAGAAAAACAATTTTATTTAGTCACTAAGAATATAATATTTAGAAAGTCAATCAATTCACCTATATGAATCTCCATCTCTGTTATAATCACAAAGTAAAAAATCTTTGCCAACTTGCTTGTCTCTTATGATTTTTAGCGGCTGATCAACAGAAGACAATAGGTCTTCACATAAACTCGGAACTAGGTCGATGAGATCACTCAAGTGCTTTTCAATTTTTTGAGGCGGTAAACGCCGCATAAGATCTAGTGCACAGTCCATTTGGATATCAGACTAATATAATAAAATAATGAAATTTTAACATACAATAATCGTTTTAATAGTATAGAAATTGTTAAGTACATGTATTAGATGTGTATCAAAATGTGTTAGGTGAAGTAAATAGACACTTACCATTTTTAAGCAGTAATACAAACAATCAAATGGTAAGTAATTTAATTGGACTATCGACCAAAACCGATCGCTGAACGGCAAAGATAATTATTAAATATTACTAATAAATAATGATAAATATTTATAATTTTTAACACTAGATAGATACTAATAAAGTATACACATTTTTAATAATACAAAATTCTTCGCTTATCACTCGTGTCTGTCTATTAGTATGGAGTAATTATCATAGTCGTTTATTATCTACAACCGTGGTCCATGGTAACCATCTTCAAGACCATAGTGGTAACTTTCTTATTATATTTTATTGTAGGGTACCTAGCACGGTTTAAGATTAGATAAACCGTGGTACCTAGTTAGCATGAACTAAAATATTTTACATGGAACATAGAATACTACAAAATAAAGATAATATAAATATTATAACATTTATAACGTAATATCTTAAATCTTTAAAGGCTATGGAGTATGGACTGAAACTAATATGACGTGGACAATTTATTAAGCTCAGTTCACAGGAAAAATTAATTTACATGAAATACACATATTAGATTATTCTTTGGTGTTCATTGAATATTTTAGCATAAAAAAAAAAACTATATATTCTCATTAATTATAGAACGTGTATGTTTTTTTGGAGAATTAAATACAAATTTCAATTTTTATGGACTTTAGAAATCTGTACGATAGTTACAACCACAAAATAAATGATTTTATAAGAATTCAATATCTCAGAATACTTTGTCCTGATCAACAAAGTTTTTACATACCCAAGAGATAGTATAAGATCACTTTCACTTCCATTATTAATAGATTTAAAAATGAAATTGGGATTCTAAATTCTTATATCGTGGTCCTAGTATGCTGGGCAACCAAATTACCTTAAAATATGATTCATGCCTTCATGGTATAATGTTGTTTAAGCTCTACAATGTGACCAAAGGTCGTAAACTAGTGTCTTCTCTAAAACGCGCCAAAAATAACGCAAATTCTGTAAAGACAATTTTGATATTATTCGGTAATTTGTTTCAATTTATTATTATCTTATTAATCTTTCATTTTAAAACGTATTATTTATTTTATTTTAAAATCAATAAGGATATTTATATTTATGACTTGATTTAACAGATGGCCATCAAGATCAAGGTTGTGAACAACTATGGTTTGTAATTCACAAAATTTTATTACTCAATGAAACAATAGATAGATTAGTACTTAATTATTGTTTTATAATAAATACATTAATTAAAGAGGTTAATAAAATGAGTTAAAAGATACCTCTTAGTTAACATGAGGTACAATTTATACATATTTATAATAAGTACCAAATAACTTGAATACAATAGTTTTAGATGAGATTAAAAAATTACAGTATTGTTAATATATAACATAATATGTATGCAATTCCTCTTTAAATTATGCAGAACAAAATTTTATGTTTTGTGTAATCTTCCAATATGTTTCTTAAGATCGCTGTTAGTATAGAATGATGACCCACAATTTTCACACGAGTATGGTCTTATACCAGTATGGATTCGATGGTGTACATCTAACCCATATTTTTTTGCAAATGATTTCAAACACACATTACACTCATATGGTTTTTCGCCGGTGTGAGTTCTACGGTGAGTCACCAATGCATTTGAATGCTTAAATGATTTTTTACAAAATTCACACATGAAAAGTTTATTATTAGTGTGCGTTTTTTCATGTGAATTTAAGTTTGATTTTTTTGAAAATGTGAGGCCACAAACATTGCATTTAAAAGGTTTACAACCAAAGTGTATTTTTAAGTGATCATCCAAAGACGATTGTTGAGTAAATGAGCTGGCACAAATTATGCATTCAAATGGTTTTTCATTTGTGTGTTTTAAGTTGTGCCTCAATAATAAAGATTGATACTTAAATGTTTTAGAGCAAGTAGAACATTTAAAATTTGTGTGTGCATTTGTTTGTAGATGATTGGATTCAGTATTGTTGGTGACTAGTTGTGTTTGTTCTGTCACATCTTCTTGTATCAATTTTTTTACTTTATATACAGTCTGAAAAATATTCAAATTAAAAATTATATATTATAATTGTTTATTTTATTTTAACATAATATTTATAAAAAACATAACATATTAGGATCACAATTATTAAGTATATAACATTTAAGTAAATAAATTGTTTAAAATCAGTAAATTTATTTTAGAAAATGATTATAAATATAAAACAATAAATATTTTTTCTATATGTTAGAAACGTATAGCAAGTAATTATATAAGTGGTCTTTTTAAGAGAATTTATACTTTCAGTAGTTAAACCCAAAAGTTTTTGGTGCTGCTCGGATATGCGGTCTACCGACATATTTCTGCCCAGATATGGGTCTACATATTATGTAGACCACACACCTATAATACGCAGTAAATAGTAATAGTAGTATATAAATAAATAACCAAATTATTTAAATATTTAAAAAAAAGCAAAAAATATTACTAAGAAAATTAAAAATTATGTAAAAAATATTAAAAATAATTTTATGTATAAAAACCTTAAAGATAAACTGCTTTAATGTCCCTCAAAAATGCAATAAATAAATCAGGTTCTTCTATTCTAGCAACTTTCCAACAATAGTGGTCGAGATAAGATTGCAAAAGTGCAATAAATATAAGTGGAAAATACAAAACTATATCGTAGGTATACATTATATTACAGCAAATTATATTTGGATCAATTTTATCTTTTAATGTTTTTTTTTTTTTTTTATCGCTGCTCAGATATGCGGTCTACATACATGTTTGTAGACTGCATCCCGTCAGTAGACCGCATATCCGAGCGCCAAGTTTTTAACATACTTAAATGAATAAATGTATTATTTTTTTTTAATTGAAATAATATACAAACCTCATCAGTTATTTTTTTCTTTTTTTTTTTAGTTATTTCCTTTAATCTATTTGATCTATAAAACAGAAACATGTTAAATTCAAAATAATGCTCAATATAAAGACAGTTATTAATACAAATAGGGAGGGACCTAGATTTTAGTTTACTTCAACATCCTGTCAAGACTACAAATAAAAATGTGTCCCATTGGCCATTTGTGGCTTGTCTTTAAATACAAGTGAGCCTTAATACACCTAAGATTAAGGACATTAGGGAAATATCATGAAAAACAATAAAATAAAAAAGTTAGGTCAACCTAAAATAAACTAAAACTTTCACTGGAAACAAAATTCTCTTCAACATATAGACTATTTTCTATTTAGAACCTTACATGAGGTGGACTAGCCATATGTATATCAAACATTCTAAATTAATTATTCAGACCTTATTTAATTTATGATTCCAACAGAACTGGACTAAAATTAAATATACTCTCTAAAATACGTGTAATAATAAATATAACAATAACATAAGATACTTATTACGTTTTTTATGGTTGAGCTTGATATTATATTATTAATTAGGTAAGATTAAGTCATTACATATGTATGCTGAAATAAAATGAATCTGACTGCACCTAACTGCTCAATTAAAATTGTATTCAGGATGGGATTTAAAATATTAGGCCCATACAGAGCTATACTCAATACTTTACTAATTTCCATAATAACATAATACAATGAAAATTCTGAAATTAAGAAATTATATAAATGCAAGTAGTAATTTCAGCAAAACTTTTATAAAGTGGACAGCCGCCATGGGGAATTAAAAATTGTTCACTATATGCAGACATTATAAGGAATTGGTTATACATATAACATATATAATACATTGAAATTGATATATATTAAAATATTAATTTATCATTTATTATATATAAAATATGTATGTAGTAAAATGTGGGTATAAAAATATTTAATGTTCATTTATAATCTTTTTTTGTATACATTTTTTTTGCTCTTCACAATGTATTTGCAAATTTTAATAATATTTATTTTCTCTTCTGAGTTTAATCTTTTTCTTTAATTATCGTTCATTTTAAAATAAGTAGATGTTTATACAAGTGCAGCACACGACTGATGATCGAACACATAACCAAATCATTTGTTATTTTTCGAATAGGAAAACCATTAAGATAAAATATGAATGAAATATAAAAAAAGTTAGATAAAAAGTATTTTTTATATGTACTTGTATTATTTCTATATATGAGAGGTAATTTTTAAGTTTGGTATCAGTTTTTAGTGTCCACAATTAAAGAGTTTGTAACTTCTATTATGTGCATACATTTATGTCATGGAATTTAAAAGTATCTACTTTTGGGAAGGGTCCACTATTGAAAAATATGCATTAATAGAGATTTCACTGTAAGACAAATTATAAGATATAAATTCAATTAGTGTGTGTATATTAAACTTTAATTTTGTGGTGTTTAATTGCTGTTTACAAATTTAAATAAACATAAGTATTATACTATTATTGTAAATCAAAATTAATTAGATTTATAAAAAATAAAATTCTTATTATTAAATCTAATATCAAGCATTAAATTAATATTATAAATGAATAACTATGATTTAATTTTCTGTTTAAATTAACATAGCCTAATATCTTACAAAATTATAGTTTTTATTATAATATTATAATACATTAAGACTTATAAATTATAATTATTATTATAGAGATTAAGGACAAATATAGTTTTATATATTTTAATGTAAATATTTTTTGGAGAATCACTAATCATGAAACAAATACAAAAGTAGATCTTAAATTCTAAAGTAATACTGCTGAAAAAAACTACCAAATATATATAACTTGAGTTATTAAATTCTTTTTCATACTTACTCTGATGAATCAACAGCATCATTTAAAGTTTTGGAAGTAACAATATTTACATAAGTATCAGCATCTAAAATTAAAAATTAAATTTAGTAAAATATTTAATATAAAAAACAGTCAAACTTTAGCTCCAGTATTATTATATATTAATATTGATTTTTTATCAATATTAATTTAAAAAGTTATAATTGAATAAAAAAAACTAATCTACAAAACGAACTGTGAATTATAAAAACGTACACACATCTGTAACAATTATTGTAAACTAGCAAATTTATACTTCCTAATCATAAGAATAATATATCAAGTTAAGATAACATGCCTTCTAATGGCTTATGTTTCCCCAGGTATTTATTTTTTTATTAATAAAAGTTATAATTGGAAAAGCTATAAAACTTTAAAAAAATGTAAATTGTATACAACATTTAATTAAGGAAATTACAGAAGGATTGCAATACGTTCTTAAGCAGAATTCAAGATTAAGTTTTTGATAGTTATTATATCCTTATCGAAAATCTAATCATTAAAAAAAGCCAAGACCATCAAACAAAAAAGTTAGCCTATCAAAATAATAATATCTATTGTGGTTAAGTCTACTCTTATTATTAGTCCTCATTTTATGAGGTTAACTACTTCTATAAGCAACAATACATTTTTATTTGAATTGCTCAACAGAATGTTAAGTTTTGTCTTAATGTAAATAAGTCTCAGAATCCACAATTATTACTTGCTGTTTGGTCTACATTGACACTGAATGAATGAATTATTGAATAAGGAACATTTTTTTAACAGTTTGAAATATTGTTTTATGTTTAAATAAATTTACCTTTGACTGTTTTCTTTTTCTCACAAATCCTTGTTTTATTTGTTGCAATATCGTCTTTAATGGCAGCCATATCTTCTCCAATTGTTATTGAATTAAACCTAAATTTGACAAAAATAACTGTATAAATAAATCTGTGATTGAAATAATTAAACTATAATTGCTTACCTATTGTAGAATATTTTTTTATAATTCGAACTTAGTTCTTTGTTCACTTTGTTGTATCGAATATCGATTATTTGATATTTGCGTCTAAAAATATAAAATGCTTATTATGTAATCAATTATTTTGTATTTTAAAGTTTAAACTATTTAAACATTTTCAACCGTGTTTCATAATGCTTATAGCTGATTAGCTATCTTATCATTAATTATTAAGAAGCATAATATTATGTACCATGAATGGACATCGGGTACTTTTCCCGAAATTATGGAAGAAAAGAAACATGTATCAACTTCCAAACACCAAATCTCCCAATAATTAAAATTTAAAATTGAATTTATGTATTTTACGACAATTATAATTATTTATCTTAATATTTAAAAAATTATTGTACAAGTATTGAGTATAAAATAGCACAGATCGCAGTCATTTCTAATCTAACAGTACACATAAGAGTCATAAGTCATAATCGTGGTCATAACTCTTAGGGTAGAACATTACCTCGACCATGTCATAGCATAAAAATATAACAAAATTAATTGAATTTTTAAATTTATAAAAACTAAACAAACTCAGTTACTCACAATTGTTAACACAAACTTATCATTTTTAAAAATCAACAATTTTAAGTATTTATAATATTTATAATATATATTATCTTATGAGTTATGATATTAATAACAAGGTAATAACTAATATAGGGTTAAGCAATGTGAAAACAGTTCGGCCGGCCCTCATGTAGTGATTTTCAATGAAAAAAAAAAAAAAGGTAATAACTAATAATTAATAGGTAAGTATTGAGTAATAACTATATTGTATTTATTTTTATTAGAAATCTACAATAAGATTATAGGATTTCGATTATCTTTACTTAGAGAGCCTAGATAGTTATTATCTAGGCTCTCTAGTCTCTACCTTTACTTATCTATTCAAGTGTGTAATAACGAATTATGTAAAATATAAACAGTATTTTTAACCTGAAATAAATAGTTCAAACCAGTGGTGAAACCAGGGGGGTCATCCCCCTTGATTTATGTCATGGTATTGATTTTTATTTTTTAAAGTTACCTTGAAATGTTCATAAAATTTTATTGATTAGATTGATTATTAGATTTGGTATTACACGTCGAATTTGATGTATAGATTAAATCAATATTAAAACTAATAACTATACCATAATTTAATTGGCATAATAATAATAATAATAATAATAATAATTAATTGGCATAAATGGTAAATATAAATTTAAAAATGTAAAAATATGTATATTAAATAATATAATTTTGTTTATTAAGCAATAAAATGTATTCATTATTTAAGGGAAAAAAAAAGTTGATAAATACATTTTTTTGGACCTCCCCCTTGAATAAATCCTGGTTGCGACTGGTTCAAACTGCTCGCTATATTGACTCTTGTATTATTTATAATATATATATAGCTTATGCACAATCTTTTTTGGGTAGGTCGTAGGTAAGTCATGTTTAAAAATGTCAACGAAAAGTAAATGCCAAATTCTAATCAAACAAATAAATTTTAATGTAAATCCAAGGGAAAACTTCCCAATTTTAAATATCACTCGAACTCAAATTCTTTCAATAAATAATTGTTTATTTGTACCTATACCTTTTTTAATTTGTGCAATTGTAGCACATTATCTTTGATTAATCCTGGACCGCCTAGCATTTATTTGTTGCTCATTGAACGATTTCTGTACAATTGTTTGACCAATTTCAATAAAAATTACTTCTGATACACATAGTTTAATAATTATACATACTTTAGGCTATAGATACTATTTGTATTAAGTGAACGGAGTAGCTGCAGACAAACACTAATCATACTTAGGTATTTGCAGTAAAATATTACGTGCATGATTATGTAAAATGATCATATTATTTTCTTACCATATTTTCTGCCAACAAATAAATTTTCAGTAATTTTAAAATTGTGGAACAAATTATATTTATTTAATTTACTTAGTACTCACTTGATGAAAACTTTATTTGAAGTCTTGAAGGGCTAAGCTTCTCACTACTATCTGGCTTCTACGTCAATGTATAGTATAAACATAATTAATGTTACATAAATATTGCAGTTTTAAAAAGTACCTATCTTACTATATTTATAATGGTATTAGTATACATTTTTAATTTTAAAGTATCGTAATATAATAATAAAGATTCTTAAAATAACCTATAATAATTTCAATTTATTTATTTTTAATCTTATAATAATTAAAGTGGATTGCAGGATAGTATATAATTATATACTTTATTTTCATTATGACGTAGTCTAAGAATAGTCAAAATTCATATCCTCCCCGGGAGAATTTAAATTCTGTTGTATAAACTCCACACAACAATGAATAAGAAAAACCCTTTTATTGGAAAATGAATTATTCTTAAGAGGGCGTCACAGTAGAAAAAAATCGACCGTAAAACATGCTTTCGTACTTCCAATAGTTCTCAGGCCTCGTTGATCGTAGAAACATGATTTTGGTATCAAAATAATCACGAGAAGTTGTACTAAATATTCTTGGAACAGAATTTTAAAATATTTTTTCTAACCAATTTTATTTGTGTTTGAAATTTGTAAAATTTTCATTTTTTTAAAAAATTATATAAAATCGGCAAATTTAGATATCAAAAATCTGTTCCAAGAATATTTAGTACAACTTCTCGTGATTATTTTGATACCAAAATCATGTTTCTACGATCAACGAGGCCTGAGTACTATTGGAAGTACGAAAGCATGTTTTGGCAAAAAAATTATGAATTTGCCGTCGTCATGTGCTGCTAAAACGATTATAGCGGCAGCGTTCTGAAATAATACTTCTTCCACCACCCCGCTTGCATAAGCAGCCATACCGCATCATAGGTCAAAACTGGTTATTTATCGTAGCCGCGCACGGTTTATAAATAGCCAAATACGTCAATACGAAAATAATAATTTTGTCAAAGAATAATATTATTTTATTTTTCGATGTTATATATCGTATTCTTATTACTATCGTATTTTGCGCAAAATGGAACTACATCATATTATATATTTGTCACACATCAGCTAGAAAACATACGATTTAAACAATTTTTTTTTTTAATCATAGACAATTGTTCCATAAAATTAGCGTATTGATATTCAAGACGAATTTTTTAAAATTTAAATTAGTTGAACTGTATAAGTAAAAAAGGTAGCCAAGTGGGTGTCGCTCTGCTTTACAGTAGATTACAAGTGAGTTACTACATACCTACTGGATTGTGTTAAATTTGAATTTAGTGATATAATATTGTATAAGAAATATATTAAATTATTTAGTTTCTATAAAAATTAATTTTATATGGAACTATAAATATTGTTGCAGATGATTTTTTTTTTATTACAACGCAAAATAAATACATAAAATGTTAATTATATAATGTTATGTATTATATTTCATTTTATTATTGTACACATAACTATGCAAATTTTATATAGATAATTTCACGTACATATTATGACATTTTTAAAATTAAAGTATAGGTGTAATATAATATTATAGTAAGTCAGTTATCCATTATCTATATGACCGCTAGCATTAATTTAAGTTATCAATTATTATAAATTGTCATTAATCCAAATGTTGTGTTTTAATTAATTATTATGTGTAAATAAATGTGTTCTGTACATTTGTAAGTACCTACATAATTTAATTTTAATTTATATATATTACATGAACAATAAAAATGTTTAGTTTATACATATTGTTTTTTTTACATATAGGTACTGCAATTGCAATAATATAAATAATTATATTATTACAGTAGGTATTTATTTAATAAATATTATGTACAACAATCAACTTCATATTTTATGTAGGTATTATGTTTAAAATTAAAATAAGTAAATACATCAATATTTACTAATCAGAATTATTTAAAATGTTATTAATAAATAAAAAATTAAATTATCGAACAAAAATTGCTTCATGTCATTTATAAGTTACAACGTAAAATACGTAACACTTTTACTAAAAAATCTATTTAATCGTAATGAAATTATTATTTTATATGTATTTTAAAAAGTAATTGGGTTAGAAATATAAATCGAGTTCTGGTGTATAATAATTTGTATGCTTAATTTATTGGTTAATATTTTTAAGCAAACAGGAGCTTTAATTAAAAAATAGGTATGCGACTTGCTAGCCAGTAGCGAGTCAGCGCACCGTATAGAATTCACGGGCGACAATTTACGTAACGGCCTGTAATGACGTTTGACGCGAAACGTTCTAAACGACAGTCTGTGAAATAATAATGTACCTCTCCCGCAATAACAACACGCGGACCCCGTCGCGTACACGATAGGCGTGGTTACGGCCTACCGCGACGGCGGCGATATGAAATTCAACGCCATCTCTTGAGCGTTGTATACGTTTCACTTTTACTGTGACGCCCTCTTAAGAGGAGATTTCAGACGTAGTCTCAAAGTCTTCTTTTATGGGCCGCCTTTACTCCTCGCGATCTTATATGAAAAAGCTAAGCTCACCTAAATAGTTATATTTTATGACCGGAATCAATAATCGCCTTGTATAGAACGATGTAGCCATTATCCGGTGTTACCCCTCTTTACCCGCTATAAAAATGTTATGTTTTATCATTTCATTAGTTAATGCAATTAATTATAGTTAAATTTGTATCTATGTATACTTGGATAATAAACACGGGAAATTAATAACCTGACAACGTCTTTTTGTTTTAATTATTGACTCACAGTTTGCGTTAGATATCTAATAACATTTTATCTATCGCCTCGATTATAATATTGTACATCAGTACATGTTATTACGACCGAGCTGAAAATGGACAGAAACTCGAATATTGATGTCAGCGGTCAGTGGATGTCGTCATCGAAAAAGTTATTGCTCATGCTCGTGCAGTCTGTACTCACGGCAGTGTTCGTGTTCCTCCTGATGACTGCCGTGTACTTACTGTACTTGTGGTTCAAGTGCACTGCGGTGGAGGTGCAACCGGTTGCGGGTCACTCCTTTTACGACGACTACGATGGCTTAGCCTCCCGCGAATCGACGCCGGTTGTACAGATCGTCAACATTACCGCAAGAGAGTTTTGTTCGGTCGTATCCAGGGACTTGTACTCGTTGAAGCAGATGGGCTACGTAGACGACGATAGTCGGGTGTCCAAGCTGCTGTCTCTGGACCTCGGCGGTGCCCAAGACGTGCACTACGTGTTTGTCAACACCACGCATGTTCCGTGGACGGTCGCTTGTTCGCTTGAGTCGGTGCTGGGTGCTATTGGCCACGTCGGTCGCGTTAATGTGTTTGTCGTCAACGGAATGGAATTTGATCGAACCGATAACAAGTGCGGTCTGACGCAACCGGTAAGATGTTTCGAAATAAAATCTGCCCGCGATATCATACACATTTCACCAGCAGGGCGCAGATTTAAGTGTTTTAAAAATAACCAAAAATGCCTTTTCAATACTAAGAGACTCTTAAAAAACGAGCAAACATTTCTTTCTTTAAGTACAAAAATACGCAAGCAATAAAAAAACGACGCGGTTTAACTGTTGAAAGTTTTTAACACTTTATCTTAATTAAACTATAGCAATAATAAAAAATAAAATACGCACAGACTTGGGCACGTAAAATAAATAAACAATATGCTAAAAAGTAGAAATAGATAAAATAACGACGTATGTCCAATTGAACATGATTAGTTGTTATTATTGTTTGAGTTCCGGTAGACTGTAGCCGGTATAAAATGCACCTCACATCCGATTAGAAATATAGATACAAAAATGTTATTGTAATCGTGTAAAAAAACTATGTTGACATTTAATACAGTTGAAAAATAGATACCTAAACTATTAAAGCAATTATTAAGGTAACAATATTTCTTGATATTATATTTTGGATTTCCTAATTTACACTAAAAGCTCGTAATTCGTATAATGTATCAATTTAATACACACTAAAATTATTTAAAAATTCAATATTTAAGTTTCATAAGTAAAGTATTTGTTACATGAAAATGAAACGAATTAAGTACCTATACTTGTAATTAAAACGTGTATAGTGTATCTTATTAGAGCATCCAAAAAAATAAACACTTTGTATTGAAATCCAGACCTTATATTAATCAATAATCACCACGGTTAAATAATACATAATAATATAATATAACTGATATACATCTGCAAAACGTGACAGTAAAATTTTTACATTTCTATGAGTGTGATTGGTTCTTTAGTGTGAGAATGTCTGATGTGTGGGTGCTGTCATATAACTCGTAAAAAAAAGCTGTAATTAAAATATATTGATAGGTATATAAAAAAATGCAAAATATTAGTTGATAAAATATCAGTGTTGTGCTAACATAGCTTTTCTATTATTATTTTTTTCGGTATTACACTACTACTAATGTTTTAGATTTCTGATCAATAGATATCAAAATATATCAAAACATACCAGTATATATATTATATATACAGTATAATCTATCTAAAAACCACTTAATATTCTTATCAAGACTCCACCTTTCTCAAAAAATAACATAGATGAATCATGAATCCATTAGTCTTATTGAGTTGATGCGATAAATATGATCTACCCATCGGGCCTTACGGACCACATCTCACGTTACTCGTTAGCGTATGTAAAATTAGTTTCTTCATAGGCTAACTGTTCAAGTTCTCACCTTCACCAAATATATTTTGTTCGTTTATTGCATTACAGTTTTTATTTCAATTGTTTATATTTTTATTTTTTCTGTCTCACCAATTACCTGTATATATATATATATTTTTTTTTTTGATTTAAATAACTTATTTTCTACTTATATCCTACATCCGTATCCTGTAATATTCCTATAAAATAATTTCTGCAGTATAATTGTATTAGTAACAGAAATTTAGAAAATAATCTTAAAGGTGCTGAGTATACTTCTATACGATTTTAACATAAAACGAAGTCTAAATAATTACTTATAAACATTACAAATACATATATTTTAGCGATAGTTCATAAACTCCAGAGAGAGAATAGTCCAATCATAAGATGTGGTATCTGTTTTGTCTATAGATAATAGCGATGAGTGTCCAAAATGTTGCTGGCTTTGTACCTACTCATCGTAGGTAAAAATAAGTAAACCACGCCACTGTCTCTCTAATATAATAACAACGATACGATTGCTGCAGGTGTCGCTGTTGTCGAGCCTCGTCGATCTGACAGCCAAGTACGGCAACCACCGGTTGAACGTGTTGCACGTGAACCTGGACGATTTGCTGGAGTTCTCGCCGTTCCAGTGCATGGGCCTCAACAGGCGTCCCGCGCTCGCCAAGTTCGCGGTGCAGCTAGTGCTGCTCTGGCAATTCGGCGGTACCGTGCTCGACGGCGACGTGGTGGCTATCCGAGGTTCCGTGTACCGAGCGACCGACACGGCGGTCGAGTACGGCGACTGGACCGCCAGTTCACCGGCCACCTGTCACCCGTTCGTGTACGACGCCATGGTGTGTACCAAGAGCTACGCGCTACTTTACAGACCATTCATGGCAGACACCAGTGTCAAGATCTTTGACAAGGCGGTCGAATGGTCGGGACGCGGCGTCAGCGACGTCCGGCGCGTCGACGACAGTGTGACGTGTCGGGACGGCCTGGTCGGCGGCCACTGCTATTACGTAGAACGGGCCGACGTCGATTTCATTCACCGTTACTGCCCCACGGTCTAAAAAATAATTCAAAATGCATTAAATATTCTGTCATTGATCATAAAACGAGGGTAAATATTTAAATAAGTATTTTTATTACGGCGATAAATAATAAATATCATATAGGTATACAACCAACAATATTTCGGTTTAAGATAAAATAAATAATTATTCATTACATACAAATTGATACAATGAATATATATATATATATGAGTATAAATATAATGTTTAGATCTCAAATTCGAATGAATAAGGAACCATGTCTAAATGTCTTTCGATGGCCTATTATAATAGTTAATGGCATTTTTTCTTAAATTAATTTTTTCCAGGCCAAGATTTATGCTTAGAAATATAATGTTATCAAAATAATGGATGGACAATAAACATAAACGATGGACGACAAGTATCTAAAGTAAAATTATATTTCTGAATTTTTCAAGCAGTGCACTAGTGCACACAGAAAGAAAACGAACAACGGCAACAAACAGAAAATAGTTTGTAATACTATTATGAGAAAATCGAAATCGAAAATTATATTAACTGTCTTCAAAATTTGCATTCATATATTTTTCACTACTGTTATTCGTCTTCATATCTCTGGCGGAACATCATTCACCGTTACTACGGTGCCACCGAGCTGCCATATAGCTGCATCAATTACAATGAGAACTTAAATAGTGAACACGAGATACTTGTCCAGAAACGGATTAAACTCCATTAAATCCTTCAGTATGACAGTATGACATATATATTATACTTCAAGATCTACGTTATACAACCGATGATGGTTGCGCCGTAAGTACTTTTCCATTAGGTCGGCTATGCTCTACGAAAGTGATACCCGTGGGTTACTCAGTATAGACGAAAGCTCTCGTCATTAATAACATAGGTCTTTTACCCGATAAAAATTAAATCATATTTTTTTTCTTATCTGAAAATTTATCAAAAAAATGGTTTTCTGATGAATTCTGAGTTTGTTGTTGACGTATTATTTGTACGCCAGTATACATTTTTTTTTTCAGATCATTTGCGAATCGTTTGCTAATAAATTATATTGACCAACATTTATACTTATATAGTTATCTGATATAATTTCTGAAAAAATAATATAATTCTTCATGAAATTTCCTTAAACAAGACTATCTTACATTTTTTTTTAAATGCCTCGATCATTGATACAACTTTTAAAACAATTTTTGAAGTTTATATTATAAAAATTGTATAATTCTTATAGATACTTAGATTGGTTTATTACAATTAAAATGTATTATAAAACCATTTCATTTTTTGTATCACTAAAATAATAATCTAAAAAATTATTAAGAATATATTGGTGTAATGACAGTATGATCTCATTATGTAGTTGAGTAGTTTTAACTTTTAAGATTATACATTGTTAAATCTTAAGGAATTTAATTAAATATTAATAGAGATTAATATTATAATAATTTATATTACTTAATTATTATTATATAATATTATGTGATTCCAGGTAGTAATAGCTTTCTAAAGTATCAAGACAGTGAAAGATGAAACCAAAGCCGAAAATATCAAACTAAGTTTAATTCCTGATACTTGAACATAAAAACCATCAGAAATCTTAAATTACATGAAAAATACGTAGACTATGTATGAAAATATTAGTTTGAGTTGTATTCTTTGGTTTTAAATTTAGGCGAAAAGTTACAAATGAAGATTTATAAGTCATAATTATTATTATATTTACTCAAAAAAAATGTTTGGATTCCTTGTGCTCTTTAAATACTATATATACCTAGTCTGTATACATAAAATAAAGTAATATGATAGATAAAATAGGGAGCAAAAAAAAAAAATATATAAAAAATAGATTAATCTATTTTTCCCTTTAAATATTATTTTCATATATTTTGTGTATAATATAATAAAATGTAGTGTATAAGATACCTTTAGATTATAAATGACTGTGTGTATTTCTTTATTTACTAAATAATTGTATACAATATATGTTTTTGATATTTAAAAGTTGCAAAATAAATAAACTTAGTTTTTTATTTTAATGACCAACGATTTAATTATGTAAATTATTTATTTATAATAAAATCATCGGGCATAAGCTCTTTTACAGAATAAATAATAAAGAAATATTGGCACATTAAAATAAAATACAAAAATATAATAATTAAGATAATCACAGAAAACATATAAAAAAAAAAAAACAAAACAAAACAAAAAATAATATAAATATTTTTACAATATAAATAAGAATTATATGAAAATTAGGTTTTATTTTTTAAAAATAAAAAAGTTTTAGCTTTAAAAATATAGCGAGATAAGACAAAATAGTCTAAGACAGCAGAGACTTTATTGGTATTGAAAATAGCTCTCGAGAAAAATGAATTATTGTCACTGTTAGTTTTGAATTTAGGTATGTCGTATGTAGAACAAATTGGAAATACGAGTAATTCTATTGGGGATTCTTTTTGTTGGAAATGTCGTTTAAACTTACACGTCTTCAGGGTTAACTTTGATAGGGACATACACAATCAATATTATTAACCCATTCAACCGAAACCGATCCTGAAAATGTTTTAAATCAGCGGTTCTTAACTTTTTGTAGAACATGGACCCCCGATAAAATATTTTTAGAAATCGCGGACCCCCTACCAATTTTTTGTCGAATACTTTTTTTACAAAACATATCAAGTTATCATAACCAAAATTATAATAACTATTTTATATTGACCCGCCGTGACAGACAATATAAGATTATGATTTTATATGAAACAAAAATAATAATCCAAAAATATTGTAATAATGCATTCATGACACGTATTAACTTATGTTAGGTGGTAATAGGCTGCCGCGGACCCCCGAAATGAGTATTTATAATATTGACCACAGGTTAAGAACCGCTGTTTTAAACCATTAATATATTATAATAAAATTTAAAACTTAAGGTATAATTTAAAAAGCAACTTACTTTACTGTTCATAATGTTCCGTAGATGTCTTAAATCGTTTAAGAGCTGAGAAAATATGTTCTGGGGCCATTGGTAAATACAGGAAATGCCACAATATACCTATCTATTTAATAATAAATGTTTATTAGAGTGCATCTCAAAACTACGTTATGTCATTATGTGAGACAATCAAGTATCAATCTCTGTTTTAGGTAAAATATTTGTTTTGAGTTTGGCTCACCAACATTTTAATTCAGCCATTTCTTTATTTTTGTTCACTTGACGTGAATAAAATTGAATCATCTTCATAAAATGCAATTTTATAGCTTTGGTAAAATTCTCATCATTTGAATACAAGCATTCAAAACCTGACAATAATAATAACCTAATCCTTAAATAATAATCTGTTTCATCTTTTTCATGTATCATAAGCGATTTTGAAAAAATTGTTAAAAATGGTTTTAGCAAAAATCGTACAATATTTACAATAGGCATCATTTTTGTCTTCTGAGTAAGCTAACCAATTAAATTCCAAAACCATATCGAGGGCACAAACATTCATTTAATTTTTCGTTATATTACGAGCTTTCAAATTGGGAACGACAGTTTTATATGTTATATCGAACTTCGTTATACCGTGAGTACTGAGTTGACTTTATATACTAATTTATACAAGATTTCTTGCTCTATATATTTAAACTGTATAAAGTATATTGTATTTTATTATTTTTTTTTAAAGTAAAAATTAAATTTTTATAGCGTCATTATATTTTATTGTTTTATAGTATTGTATAATATGTATTTTTTTTTTTTTTTTTATTAAACTTACCTAGCCCGGTGACTAGGGCTATTAGCTATTATATAATATGTATTATTATAGGTATATATAATTTACTTTTCTGGTAACAAATCGTATGTTTAATATTTTTACGCAAAATTCAGTTTTAAAAAAATCAATTTTGTTGTACCTTAAAAATAAATAATTGCAGTGATTTTGAATTTTGCACAAAATAGGTATTTATATTAGTATTTTCTAAGTATAATATTTCTAAATATTTCTAGTTATTTGTAGGCTTTTGCAGTTTTTCAATTCTTTTTTAAAGTGTCAATTTAAATCTTAACGATTGTTAAAAAAAAGCCTTAACATTTAATACAAAATAACACCTAAGGACAATTTCATGATCATTTAAAAAAATATATTAAAAATGCATAGCCGATTTTTTTGAAGTGTTCGATATTCAAAAGTTGAGGTACATAATTTCATTTAAATTAAAAAAAAATGATTTTACCAATTTTTTTGTGATTCATTGAATATGATCCATAAGGACTTGACATTTACTATAAAAGCTACTAGTATCATACAAATCAATGCATATTGTATAATAAATAATAATATAATATCATAAATAATGACAAATGACAATAATAAGGGGGTATCTTAAGAAGTATTGTGTACCAAAATGTTTTTTTAAATATTATATTTTATCTAATGGCGGCAATGAATTATGGTACACGACCTAGGTATAAAACAGACAGATATAGTGGTTTTTACCAAAAATCTATGATAATATTAATATTATTGTTTGTTATATTTTTAGATGTTGGTTCCAAACTTCCAACAATCCAATCAATCTAAAATTCCATGTGTCCGTTAGACTACCTATGACTTTTTAATTTTTAATAGTTATTAGAATTTTGTTATTTCCTGCCTATAGTTAATATTTATTATAAAAGAAAATAGTATTAGCATTAATAATTTGCTATTACTACAATTATAGTGATTGTTTTTTTTTTTAACTCACCGTTTCTAGAGTTTAGTTTAATATAACAATGTATATTTATTACTTAATTGCATAACTACAAATCTTTACATTACTGAATGACTGTTTTCATATTATAATAATTAATGAGCCAGGTGAGCAAAATTAAATATTAGTAGATGGTTAACTCTTAACATTTATGATGTAAATTTAACTTCAATGTAAACACTGTGGAACTTTTTTATTGTTTAATATTTAGTAAATTAAAGTACTTACATTATGAGTCAACAAATTGAATGTAATGCTGTAAAGAGATGGTTTGGTTTTAAAAGAAAAACAAACTCGTTTTACTTAAAATATTAATACAAATAATAAAAGTTCAATTAATTATAGCAACTTTCAAAATGTAAGTTTTAATTATGTTAATATCAGTGTTAAAGTAATGCATTTTTAATAATATCTGGAAATTGTGCTTTCGCAAACCTGCTTTCATAAAGTGTGCCTTACAAGACAACTTTGTGATAGACTTGTATAATACATGTCAACTAAATGTTGTATGAGTAGTTAAAATATAAATATATTACAATTTACAACATTTCCCTGTTACACTTAATTCATATAATATACTTAATACTTAAATACAAATAGCAATATATCAACTAGCTAGTTTAAAAAATATACCTACTTATGCCATACATAATAAATCAATGTAGAATGTTTGTATACTCTACTAAATGTTTAAAATCTTACTTTATTTTTTGGACATATATTATAGACAATCAAAATTATGACACCTAAGAAAAAGCCGAGGAAAAATCTTTGTACTAAAACATGTGCTAAGTATTACAAGTTTTTCTATAAGAACAAAACAAAGGATTCCAATTCAAAAAAAGGTTTATTTTTTGTTATTATTCAATTAAAATAATTATTTAAGTTAAATTTAACATTTTTAGGTGAATGTAGGACTTCAATTCCTGTTTTAAATACTTTAAAAGATGACAAAAATTGTATGTTGTAAGTATCTATGAATATTAATTTGAGTGAATATACTAATTTATTATTTATTAAATGATTCAAATGATTGAATAATTCATATATTGTATGATTATGATTTTATCGCACGTGTTACTCCCACATCTCACAAATGTACAATATAAATAATTTGACGTTAAGATTATTATATATTATTATCTAAGGCATCTCTGAAGATTCTAGTGATATTTTAATTTTAAAGCAAGTTATGATCATTTAAAATTTTAAAAATATATTAAAGTTTTAAAGTACTTATAAATAATTAAATTATCTAGACAGAGACAAAAGATGATAGTATAGGATCCACCAAACTATTTTTGTTACATTGCATGTAATGTATTTTTATATTTGTTTTCTAAATGATAAATTAGTATACGTTTAAATGTTGTATTTACTTATTTCATATATTATGTATAAAACATAAGTATGTTGTATGTATCATGATATTCAGTAGAACCTCGATTATCTGTCAAGACTGGGCCCTAGACTTACAGTTAAGCAATAGATAATTATTCTTTATTTTTTAATTATTTAATTACTTACTTAAATTAAATTAAATGGTTTGATAGCCATCAATTGTTCAGTAAATCACAAATCATTTTCTCTTAAAACTGCGTGGGGGATTACTAGGAAGCGAGTTGGATGCAAGTTCAACGATTAAAAGATTAAAATGAAACCATAATTTAGAGCAACATTTAAATAGATAATTAAAGGAGTTTTTTTAATATCAATAATAGTTGTTTGGCTAACATCATAAATTTATGCATTGCTTATTGCACTTTCTCCCTTTCATAACACTTAATGTTTTCCAATTTTTGAGAAAAAAGATACTTTTGTGCTATCATTCTTCATTAATTATTTTTAACCTTGCACAATACAATACAAATACATTAATACACATGAAACAAAAAACACATACGTTATAAACACATGTGTAATAAGTAATAACTGACTTTTCAATACAAAGATATGTTCTCAATAACTATAGACTGTTTTTATTTCACCTATAAAACGTACATATAATTTATTTAGTTTATATTGCCTGAAAATTTTGGTTAAATCAGCTTTCACATAAGGTGATAAAATTTTGCTGCAACATGCAAAGTGTGGCAGTTAATTAAGTAATAAAATAGTTAATTGAGAGACACATAAATACATAATCGAGGTTCTACTATATCTATTTTAATATATTATATTTTTGTATAATTATTTTATTAATTGTGTTGTATATTATTATTTCTATATTAAGGTATTTACAAAATTATTGTTTTTTAGATTAAAGAAAGAAAGAAAAAAAAGAAGGAAATTTAAAAAAAAGGTTGTTTTCTTTAAAAAATATAGTTTTAAATATTATATTTTATTTACTAATTTAAAATTGTTGTGTTGTTTATTTTAGATACAAAATAATAAAAATTTAAAAGACAATAAAGCTAAGTTTAATATAGATAATAATTGTAATATTCAGTTAAACAAGGACAATAAATTGTTTTCTTATGGTTTAAATAAATGCAAGAAAAAAGTTTATAAATCTGATAGAAGTTTGTATTTATTTTTTACTGATCAATTTAAATTTATTAATTAACTAATTATATTATTTGATTATATTTTTAGAGTTAGCTATCATTAGAATTGTGATTAATTTAGTGAATGACAGACTTAGTTCATCAATGTATGTATAATAATTATAACTTAAGTTTTTAAAAACTATTGTGATAATTAGTTAAATCTAAATATCAATATTGGTTAATTTTTTTGAATATATTTTAACAATGATGTTATTATAATAATTTTTATTTTATATTATTCATTGTGATACTAAAATTAGTCAACTAATTAGCATAGTTATATTATTAAAATGCATAAACGTGCCTGGGTACTATCTAAACTGAAAATAGTAATTAAAATTTTTTGTTTTTCCAAGAGCTTGGGGGTTTTGCATTCATAAACCGCACAATGTCTTGTAAATTATAACGCAGACACTGCTGCGGAAAGAGTTAAATTAAATATTCTTCCCGTTAAATATTATACTTTTACTTTCTTTATTTTATAAATATTTTTATTAGTTACTTAAAAATAGTGTTATCTAGATAAGAAAAATGTTAAATTTAGCTATTTAGTAAAAATATTATAGTAAAGGGATTTAACTTAAAATATTATTATTAAAAAATTAACTATAATATCTAAATATTATTACAATATCACAATATTTTTATTATTATTATTATTATTTTTTTGTAGATTTATACCACAAGTAAAAATTATTATTAAGAAAAAGGATGAAAAGCCCAAGGTTGTAACTCTTTTGTAAATACAAATTTAAGAGAAAAGTATTTAAAATACATTTTTGTTAACTTTAGATTTCAAGTACAAATATTTTGAAAACTGATAATGTTGAGGTATATACAGATAATAGACATTATAATGAAATGAATAAGCGCTTCAAATGTCCTTTGGCTTGTCATAAGCACAAGAAAAAGACTCGCAAAGCTTTCAAGGGTTAGTATTTATTATCAAATTAAATTTTTTTGAAAATGTTTTATTTATTAAGTTATGATGAATCATAAATATTACCATTGTTTAGAAATATTTTATGCTCTGTAAATTATCAGTTTTTATTTTACAATATTATAAGTATAAAATAGTGATCACGGTCATTAGATATTCACTAATAAATTATTAGTAATAATAATTATTATAGTTTTTACCTTTAGTTATTGTTATCAATGAAGAATAACAATATTGTTTACTACATATTTATAATTATTTAATTATCTACAATATACTAAAGCAGGGGTCTCCAAACTTTTTTTATCCAAGGGCCACATAAAATAAAAAAAAGCTCTTACCGGGCCAAAATGTATGAATACATTTAATTTTCGTATATAATTTATAAATTACAGCTAATACAGCTGATAATTGCTCGTATGCGCGATAACGACTATGAAAACTAAGTACATATATTTTTAGGATATTTTCTGTTATTTGGCGGGCCGGTAAAAACTTATTCGGGGGCCGCATCCGGCCCGCGGGCCATAGTTTGGAGACTCCTGTACTAAAGTAATGTGCAAAATAAGTATAAGTTTCAATCATCTATTTTATTAATTACGAGGCATGTCCACAAAGTAACAGTACAGTTCGGCTTTCGTGCTGTGATAATTTTTTTTTCCAAAAGTTGACAATACTAAGTAGTAGTGGGGATCTCCTGAACTCAACAAACACTGTCAATCCACGTCATTTCCAAAACTTGCCTCGTAATGTTTGTTTCTATGAATAATGTCAATAAGAAATCCCGCCAAATGCAAAGTGTGCTAGAGTTCCTTGAGTGATTTGAATTAAAAGGTGAGAATTTTCTGAGTTCCATTGTGACTAGTGATGAAACATGGGTGGCTCATTACACCCCTGAGACAAAAATACAATCATCACGGTGGCGACACACTGGTTCCCCTTTTTTAGTTTTAAACCATAATTTCGGCCCAAAAAATCATATCAGTTGTGTTTTGGGACTGAAAAGAGGTAATTTTGATTGATTTTTTGCCTCAAGGGGAGACAATTATTACAGCACGATACTGTTAGACCTTACAAAAATTAAAGAGACAATTCATAACAAACAAAGAAGAATGTTTATGAAGGGAATGTGTTTGTTGCACGACAACGCCCGCCCGCATATGGCAAACGTCACCAAGACTCGTTTGAACTCATTTGGTTGGAACATTTTAAACCACTCCATATTCCTCTGATCTAGCGCTTTCAGATTTTCATCTTTTTACCTTCCTGTTGACTTACATGAATAGAATAAAATTTCAAACCAATGAGGAGGTGAAATAAGAATTCTTGAAGTAGACGAAAGAGATGGCGGGAGAGTTCTATGAGAAGGCATCAAAAAGCTTGTGCCACGATTTACGAAATGCATTGAACGGGAAGATGACTATGTGGAAAAATAAATAATATGTATACCTACAATGTCCTATAATTTTTTTTTAAATACAAAAATTGAGTACTCTGTCTTTCTGGATATGCCTCATATAATATGCAATTGAATACATGTATTCAGTTCCACCACTAGCGGAGATGATTGACTTAACATTTTATAGAAGGACCCTCAAATTCTCAGTTGTGTATTGCATGCACTATATAATAATTTAGTTAATTATTTAATTATTTTGGCAAATAACTTTTTATTTTTTTTTAGGTAAAAAGTGCAAGAAAAAAAATATTATGAAAAAAAAATTATATTCTAAGGTTTGTTCTTGATTGAATATTTTTAATTTTATTTAAATTTAAAATAAATTCTTTATTTGTTGACTAGAAAGACATAATAATTTTCTTAATTTTGATATTGTGTGAATTTAGTTATATTTCTATTTTATAATATATAATAACATTCTATAATCAATCTATTTTGTATGACTGTATTCAATGAAAATTATATAAATAAAAAAAAATAATGCGTTAACAAATTTGTTGTATAATATTTTTGTAAGTTTCAATATAGAAGATTCAAATCAAACTTTCTAATTATTATGTCGTTTTGATGAATGTTTTTAGAATGTAATCCAAGAAAAAATATCTTCAAATAAAGCCAAAATAGAACAACAGAAATCGGTTACAACCAGTAAAAAGTATCTGGAAAATGATACTGTTAAAGACTGTGAAGACTCTGATTGTGATATTTTCAAAAAGTATTTTGAATTTCTCTCTGCTCACTCAATTGATGATAAAGGTCTGTTTTTCAACAATTAATTTATTATTAAATATTATAAATGCTTTAAGTTATTCCATGTACAAAATTGTATCAATTGTTATCAAAATACAATATTTGCTAGTAAGACCTAAGTAAAAATAATTGTCAATTCATTATAAGAATAGAATGCATATTTTGAAATATTACTCATATATAGGACTGTGAATTTAATGCACTAAAAAACCTTAAAAAATACCAAAAAAATGCAATGAAATATGCACTTAAAATACCAAAAATTATAATATAAAATTCATTTAAAATGGTTTTTAATTTTATGTCTGAAAGAATGATAGTAGTTTATATAGTTACTAAATTTTTGACATTGAATACTGGAAAAATGTCTGTTGTTTGCAATATTTATTCTGGTATATTTATAGTTAGATCTAAATAGTTTAGAAATTCTTATAAAACACATTACTATAAAATATTGCTCCAGTAATTTGTAGCATTTTATTTTATTTTAAAAAACATGAAATTAATAGTTTAAAACTTTCATAGAAGATTTGTGATTATTCACTTTGTTTTAAATATTTATTGCGTTAGGTATTAACTGAAAATCAATTGTTGCTATCATTAGGATATCTGGTATCCTGTATAATATTAACAAACATTTTGTATTTAAGATTGCGGCTAAAATTACATTTCTTCGAATAATGTTTATATTAAATGAATTGCATACAACTTTTTAATAATCTGTAGAATATTTATTTTTTATCAAAAAATGATCAATAATATATTTTTATTGTATTAAAATTTTAGATGTGAACGCCTTTAAGACTACTTGTTTTTCAAAAAAATTGAAAGATAATGAAGAATTGTGCCATACTAGGTATCTAATAGTTCATAATAAATAATAATGTATACAAATGTATTCTTATTATTTCATATGTAGTAATAATAATTTTAAAATTAATAACTATTTATCTTTGTAGAAATAATACATTGGTTGAAAAATTTAAGGAGCAAAAGATTATTAAGAGTAATAATAATAATTTATCTAAACATTACAGAATGCACACCGGTGAGAAGCCTTATGCGTGTGACGTTTGTAGCCGATGTTTTTCACAGTCATCAAGTTTGGTCCGTCACTACAGAACGCACACCGGCGAGAAACCTTATGCGTGTGACGTTTGTAGCGTTTCGTTTTCGTATAACAGTTCGCTAGTTAAACATTTTAGAAAGCACACCAATGAAAGCCCATCCGTGATAACAAACGTTTTTGATGAATCATCAAATATGCAACAAATTACTTTGGAAAATGTTCATAAAAAGCATGTAAGTGAAAACCTGTATTCTTGCGAGGTTTGCGATAGAAAATTCGCAGATTTAAGTACCTCAATCGTACATTATAGAACGCATGCCAGCGAAAGTATCTACCAGTGTAGTATGTGTGAAAAGTTGTTCTTAACATCCACTGAATGTACGAAGCATATGTGGTTGATACACCGAGACAACTATTTTTAAACGCATTATCAATATGTACGTCGTCTTCCATCTCATAGAAGAATGTCATAACAAATATTTTCTTTTAGAAAAGTCGTGATTCATAAAATATGTGTAAAAAAAATATGTTTTATTCGTATGTAGGTATCTATGTTATTATTTATTTTGTTAAAGTTCATATTTTTTTCATCAATATCTTTCTTTTTTATGATGAATTTTCAAACTATATTAATTTATGTACGAAGTATTAGAAAGAAAAATTTTCAGTGCAACAAAAACAATCGCGTGGAAAACGTTTTCACAATTTTCAAAGTCAATCTTTTAAAAAAATTAATATTTTTTATAAATTTGATTAAATTGTTCATTTATCACATTAATTGTAACCAATAAGTTCAAATACTATAACTTTGGATTCATATTTGTTTTATTTATAATTACTAAATTAATTATAGAAATCAGTTTAACACCATTGATTTTTAACTATTTCAAATATTTCTTAACTGCAGTCATTGTGCTATGATTCTCTATCTGACGTACTTACTTTATTTATTTATTACAAATATAAATTATGTTTTTATTAAATTACATTTATATTATTCCTAAGACTTAAAATAAATACGTTTTAATTAACATTTTTGTTTGCATTTAATTAATAATTTTAGAAAAGTATTCATTAACATATCCTCAAGTTTTATTTTCTTTGTATAGGTACAAAGAATAACATTCATATTATTATGTTAAAAATGCATCTGGAATAATGAATTTAATTTATATGTTAGATTTTAAAAACGGTTTTAAGTACAGCTCAAATGAACGATTCACTGGTGCTTTGTTCAGGGGGCTTTTATTGGCTTCTGCCAAAAGCCGTTCGTATACGTTTCCATCATAGCAGCCTAACGCAGAGTCTAATATTTCGTCTCGAATGTCAAAACTGTCTACTAGACCAACTGCATTGGGTCTAATGCGTTTTAAAGAGTCTTCTAATAAGCATTGTATTGAATGTATGTTACTCGGTTTCAGATTGGAATGCTGAAATTTATGTACATAGTAAATACAATGGTTGTAATAAAATAAAAGCGCAGAACGAGCTGATGAAAAATCATATTTACCTGTAGAAAATCACCAAGTTTATTTAATATCCACTGCGCACAAATTAGCTCACCGAGTTGAGTAAGCACGCTCTTTAATTCTGGTGAAAATTGATTTGTTTCAATCGTTTTTACATAAATATCGATCACAAACGCTCTGCAATGCGCCTATAAAAAAAAAAAAATATTTTTATTTAAAAAAAACTATATATAATTATTTTAATTGAAACAAATTATATTTAATATATGCATTAGTCTATATTTTTTAATGCAAACCCAGTTTTTAACAACATAATAGATTTACTTAATTTTTTTTGTAATTTGACATCTTATATCCAATAACCATAGATACTTAAAGTTTTCCCAAGCATTATCAATCAACATCGTATAATTTTTAAAATATTTTGACTTTTGAGTTATTTATAAACATTTGACATATTTAATTTTTTTGAGTTCTATAGTGAAGCGATGAATGTATAATTTTACAATGGTGTTTTTTTGTTTGTATACTCAATAGAAAGTTGAAAAATTATTCAATTTTCAAAATTGCCTGAACTTTTAAAAATATTCGAATACACAAAACAAAAAAATTAAGGAAAAAGGGATTTTTACACAAATCTAGTTTTTGATAAAATTAAATTTATTTATTTATTGGTATAACTCAAATAACCGTAAATACTTGACATTTTCACCAAATTTATCATTTTCTATGCATAATTATATAATAATTTTCAAAATATAATACTTTTTAAGTTATTTATAGATATTTGAAATTTTCCATTTTTAAAAAAAAATTTATAAATACCTTCCAATAAAAAATTATTTGCTGAGTAAGAATGCTTAAAATTAAAAACAAATTTATTCTGAAACCAACGAATCTTTAAAATAAATAAACACGAATTTTCGTAGATATTTTAGATTCAAATTTGAACGATAGTAATAATAAAATAAATTACTTTACCAATTCTAAAAAAAACGTAGGTATCTTGAAATTACTTAGGTTAAGGTGACAAACCGTTTTCACTCAGAATCGTTCTTTGTATGATTTAGGTAATTCATTGTTAAATTTAAATGTTACGCATACATTACAGTAGTCAGTAACTATTTCTCAATAATTAAGTATACACTTACAGTATTTCAAAGTTTCAAAGCAGTTATCTAGTTTTATACTTTCATTATTTTTTATTTAAAATGCAATTTTAACGTATTTACGTATACTCTATTATAATAATAATTTATGAATTATGGATTTAATATTATATTTATTGGTAATGTTAAGTTTGTTTTAAATAATTTATTTTAACATACTTCGGATGCTTGTGTAAGTTTAATGGATGTTCGATTCCAAGCATCTTCTTGAGTCATTCCAGAATCAATCAGTCGTTTTATTGTGAAGTAACAGTCGTCGATTTTACTACAAAAGAATATTCTTGAGAATTACATATTTTACTTGTACTCGTAACTTGTGTATCATAGTTATATTACTTATATTGTTGCATTTACATATTAAATATAATATAAATTTAAAGCTATATATAGCCCTATTCTGAAATAGGGTGTTATTTAAATAAATTACTATTAATCAAATTAAATTTTACTCTTAATACATTTTAATAACTAATTATTGAACCAATTTTTCAAACATAATTATCAATTGTAGGTACCTACTTGTAAAAAAGTTATTTAAATAACTGTAAATACAATTTTTCTAAATTCTGTCTATAATACGATAATAATATACCTTCCGGCAACTTGGAAAAATGCATTGGTCATACAGTCTAACACCGTTGTCCAAGGTGATTGTTTTAAGTTTTTGTATTTTTCCAAGTAAGATAGTGTTTCTAATGTTGACATGTCGTTTCCCATTTGCACGTTTTCGTACGATTTCATCAAAAATCTGTTTATTTCAAAACACAGCTTTATAAGCTTTAATACATTCGTTTGTAAACTGAAAACAGTAAACCGTAAAACGCCTCACCTAGCTGTTTGCAAAAGTAGTACCGTGTTTTCACCTTCGTAAGTTTCTGTTGCAGTAGAAAGGGAATAGATGTTCGGCAGACTGCTGCAGTTCATATATCCATGACCGCCACACGCCAAACGACAAGACGTTACGCTAGTAGATGCATCGGTTGTGCCGACAGCTTTTAGACAACAGGCCATAGCATGTAGCTGCAGTATATTATATATAAAATGCATATATATGTAATATTTACAAGATTCTGTTTAAAACTTTTATTATTTTTTGTATAGGATATTTCAAAGTGTTATTGATGGCACGTAGCATATTTTCCTAATTAAAAATGTGTTTCGAAAGTCTACGAATATATTTTTAAATATAATAACAGTGCCTATACTTCGCTTGAGCTTATAATTAGACGGCGGACAGCTTAATATTATTTGTGCGTTAAACTTCGTTGTCCAAATTCCTGTACACGACGACGACCACATATTAGATACCTATGCGAGAAGCGGTAGGTATGGCAGAGGAATGTAGTTTTATTTGCGCGTATTTAAAGTCATAATATTAAATTGTATGGAGACGGAGTATACCTACATTTTTTGCCTTATTGATCAATTTTACGATTTATGTAAAGTCCTACAAAACAGATTCTTACAAACTGCCAGATTATTAATCCTATATGTGCCGGGGTGCCTTTACTATTTATATATGATGGCAGGGAATCGAGAAAATTAACGCCAAATCAGTTTTATGATATAATAACAATATGCACATGATATAATTTTTTCTAGTTAATGTTTTTTGGAAATAACCTTTTGTGGTTAAAATTAATTTAGTAATTAATTTATTAATTTTTTTTTTAGTGTTAATTTTCGAGAAATGTTTAGAGAGTAAATTTATAAAAGCTGTATAGGACGTAAGAATTTTCTATATTAGCACCCGTGTAGAGAGATTTCTTACAGTTTAAATAATTAGTAAATCATCGAGCGCTTCAATCCGTTACAAAATGTTACCTACACTAACTTTAACGATTTTTTTTTTTTTTTTGCTACACATAAATTAAACGTTCTGAAATCTTGGGTGAAAGTTTTCTTAACTCAATTGAGACTGGAGATGAAAAATGGATCTTTTTGGACCAGAGAGGAAAATAATTGGTTAATTTCATGTTTAAAGAGACCATTATTAATGTTGTTTATCATACTGAAAGACCCTTAAGAGGTTGAAAAAAAAATAAAAAGAATTTCGGAGCTGATTTGTGATAACGCTTGTAAACCTCATGTCTTCATATCCGCCGGTTGTCGTTTGCGCATCACTATTGTTATTTTTGACCTTTTTTGTAAGACAGTTGCGCATCGTTTATTTTTGGGTTATACATCGTTTGCGCATCGATCGTTTAAAAGGTCGTACATCATTTGCGCATCAATATTATTTAACAATAGAACTGAAAAAAAAGGTGTATACCCGCGGCCGTATATCATTTGCGCATCGTCTGTTTACCTGTGCGAAAATATCTAACTTATTTTCAAATATTGTATAGGTATTTTTGTTTTAAAATATATATAATATAAATATAATAATACGATATAGCATGAGATTAACAACTAAAGTGTACGGGTTTCCATTTTATTATCCATTTTTATCGCATAAGTATATCAAGTTCCGGCAGCGTCGTCGATGCCTCAAAAAAAAAAAAAAAAAAAGATAGTAGATTACTGGATAGTAACACTCGTTAGACGCTGTCGAGACGTACGCGTGACACACGAGACGTAAACGGTTCGGTAATCGGTACATTATAATATTATACAATATTTTTTTGACTTTTGAGTACATGTAAAAATGAATCAATTAAAATTCGTTAATTCAAATCGTGGAAAAGCTGCAGCCATTTTCCAAAAGTATTTTTATACAGAAAGGAAAATTCTGAAAAATGGTGAGATTATATTTATGTGTCCAAAAAAAGATTGCTATGCCTCAATAAAAATTGATGAACACCGAAGTACGGTGTTAGAAATACGCGGAGAACACACACGCCATCTCCAATTGACGGATTCGGAGATAGAAAAACACGAAGTAAGTCAAAATAAGAATTATAAATTAATCAGAAATTGGAAATAACATATTCATAATAATATATAGTATACATGAAATGTTGTTAAAATAATCTAATTTATATAATTAATTAATTTTTTTCAGATTAAAAACACCGTAAAGAGGAAAGCTACTGAAGAAATATCAACAAGACCTAACAAAATTATACGGAAAGCAATATCCGAAGCAGATCATGTGACGCTTAATGATATTTCCAACTACAGACAACATATATATAGAAAACGAAGGAAGGTTTTACCAGTATTGCCGAAATCATATGATGAAGCTATTTCGCAATTAATTTCTCAGGAAACTATTTTAACTTTTAAAAAAGAACAATTTCTTTATATCAATGATAATAAAGTTGTATCTTTAACTTGTAAAACCAATTTAAAAACTTTATGTGACAATTCAGAACTCATTCTAGCAGACGGAACCTTCAGATATTGTCCAAGATATTTTTATCAACTGTACACGATCCATATTTATAAAAACGGGCTATACTTACCCTTAGCTTATTATTTTTTAACCGGAAAAACAACAAACGATTATATTGAAATGTGGCAATCTTTAATCAATTTATGTAATTCGAATAACTTAGTATTCGAACCAAAATCCATCAGAGTGGATTTCGAAAAGAGTGCACATTTAGCAATTCAGCACTGTTTTCCACTATGTGATATATATGGTTGCCGATTCCATCTAGGACAGGCTTGGTATAGAAAGCTTAATCAAGATTTCCCAGCTCTAAGAAATGAATATAAAGCTAATACTGAAGTCGGAAAATGGATTAAATATTTCTTTGGTCTATCTTTTATTTCCCCTGAAGAAGTTTCTGATCAGTTTTGTGAGTTGATCGAAATCGCTCCAAATAGTGACGTATTACATTTTAGTGATTACATATATGACAATTATATTCAAGAAAATTGTTTATTTCCACCAGAGATGTGGGCAGAAATTCCATCAACTTTACCTAAAACTACCAATGGACCTGAGGCATTTCATTCGCATTATAATGCACAATTTTACAGTACTCATCCTTCAATTTGGAAAGTATGACATTTTTATAAATTATTAATTTAATAAATTATTATATTTTGTTTTATATACTTAGGTAATAGAAACGTTGAAGGAAATACAGACAGAGACGTATGTTAAAATTAAAGATATTTCTGGTGGTATCAATCATTTACAACGGGCTCCTGAACGTCAAAAACTTGAATATATTCAAAAACATTGGCTTAAGTATACTACCGGTGAAATAAGCAGGTTTCATTTTGTAAGAATAATGGGACATTACAATATACCAAGTATTTATTTATAATATTATTATTCAACTGAGTTTTTCAACAATTTATTTATTTTATTTTTTAATTTAATTGAATACAATTTATTTTTAAATAATTTTTTCTCAAACTATATGTATATTTGTATTATAATTTATAAAATTGTAATGCTTATTGAATAAAAACTTGTGCCTATATATATTAAAATTTATCATTATCTATATAATATTAAATGTGTGTAGGTACATTTGTATACCCTTCTATTGTTTAGAATTTTGATGCGCATATGATATACGATAATTTGGTGCAGGTAAACAGACGATGCGCAAACGATAATTTTCCGCCGATGCGCAAACGATGTACGATATTTTCGCTCAGGTAAACAGACGATGCGCAAATGATATACGGCCTTCATATCTCTAGCTCACCCAGGTTTTGTGTAATTTGAATGGAATACTCACCCATATACCTACTTGGAATTCTTGGATTATCAAATTTTCATTTAATACTAAATTGAATGAGTTTTCGAGTACAAAATATAATTGTCTAACGATGAGAAAACCAAGAAGGCTGTTAAATATTGGATTCAGAAAGTGAAACAGAAGGTATTATATTATATGACTACTGACGAGGGTACTTAAAAGCTGATGCGTTGCCTTTAGAAATACAATTGCCTTGGGGCTTAGAGGCGATCATGTGAACAAATAATGACATATTTCGCATATATCTTATAAATTTTATTAAAATATATTTACTTTTTGATTAACACGTTTAATTTTAACCGTAGGTACTAAGTAGACATCCATCGTATATATCAACATTTATTTATCGTATTTCTACCACGGAAATTTATCATTCTATTAATTCCCAAATATTAGAATATTTATGTTTCTCTTATATTTATTTTTAAATGTTCTTATTTTTTTTATTTATAATAAATAATAATGTTAGAAATCAATGTAAGCAATGTAATAATTAGCTAGTACCTAATAAATTTTAAAATACAAAGTGTATTGAAGAAAATGAACGACTTACCTGCGGTAATTGATCTAAATCACCTTGTTCTAATTGCGAAGTTACTGCAGAATATTTATTCCATAGCCATTTTGCTGCAAATGTATACATTAAACTTAAAGCAATGACTGGAAACAACTTGTACTGTTGTGTTTGGTAATCTAAAATTTGAGGTTCTCGTTCACTGTTTCATAGTAAAAACACAAATATACATCAACGAGTTTAATAATAAAACATAAGATTTATATTTTCCAATATTAAAAAAAATGTAAAGATTTTAAATTACCCTGATTTAAGTTCTGATTGCCGGCGAACCGCACTATACCTCACTGCAATTGTTGCTGATTTCATTAAATGGCTAGTAACCAAACTCTTAACAATTAATACTCGTACAAATATCATTGTGCCATATGTTAATTTTTCATGAGGTGATTTTTCATAAGTTCCGTCCTAGATGAACAACCGAGAACATTTTTCTTTTTTTATATAGTCATTATAATTTATCAAATAACAATAAAAGTATGATCTTAAGTCTTAAATTTATAAAAGTGGTTAAATTATAGAAAACTAGATTATTTAGTGAAAGAAATAGTATTAATGATTATGATAAGGAAGCAAGAATATTAAGAAAGGGCTACTTTTTTAGAAGACTAATTCGAGAGTAAAAGAAAGAAGATCGTTGTTCTACGAAAGAATGTAATTGAAAGAGAGTATGTTTAAAGTATCAATTACATATAGGTAAATATTTTTATTAAAATAAATAAATAACTTTACTACAATGTAGTAAAGCTTTTACTAGACATATTTATTAAAATCAATTGATAGTTGAATTGTTTATAAATAACCTTATGAACTTTAGAATTTTTCATTAACATGTGCATTCGAGGTAATCTAACGTTGTTAAACGCCAAGTATCCATTGTTCGAGGTGTTCATGCCCATTTTACTGCCGATTTCACCAATTTTGATTCCTGATAATGATTTAAAAAATATATTATAGATACATTGTTAATTACGAAAGAATATAATTTTTAGTCATATTAATTTATAGGTATATCAGTATTACAAATATAGGCTACTTTCGTCTTTCTATTTATTATACCTAATATATTATTGTACATTTATACGCATATATATCTATATATTAGTTTACTATGAAATAAAATTACTCATTTGGACTATGATAAAATATCAATAATATAATACCAGGCATAGGCATCCATGTTTCTGAATCCCTTAATTGAACAATGAACGGATGTATCCCACGATGTATGCCTTGAGTGTAAAGTTGAGCAAGAACAATTGCGTAATTACAACTGTGTCCAACTTAAATTAATTTGAAAATATTTAAGACGAATGATTCATAGAGTAATAAATAATGTTTTTAAGACATACGTCCACCGGGCCACCATTTGTACGATGTCAATGTCGGACTATTTAAAATAAACTCTTCTGTTTCTGGATGATACGTGCATGTAGTTTCTAAGCCCCGAATAAAAGTTCCATGTCCAAGTTCAGTCTAAAATCAAAATATTTACATTTAATTTATACAACAAAAATAATAAATTTATTAGGTATATTTAAATATATAATACATGATAAAGAAATATGTCATAGGTAATAGGTATAACTTTTTAAAGTACATAATATTATAAAACCATGAAAAGCTCTGATCTTTTTCTGGTGAAAATGTTGTGAAATGAAGAATTTTACATTTAGAAAAATTGTCTTTAAAGGTGAGGGGAAATAAATACCTACATTTTCTTTCTGTCAAATATAAACACGTATAAAATTCAAAATTTTGTATATTAAAAAATAAAGAAATGTCATAGGCGAAAATGAATACCTACAAGTATTTAACAAAATATGTAATTGTTAATAAATAATAACTAATATATCTGTACTTTAGCTAACTTTAGTATTAACTACTAATAATATTATTTAACAAGTAAAGAAGCAACCTATGTTTTTACATAGACTTTAGGGTAAATAACTTTTTATGATCCTGTCTATCTGAACCTTAAAATACGAAAACATGAATCAAAAATATATGTAATGTAAGATGGATTGTGAATGTATCTTATTAAACAGGTTAAAAATCAACTAGATGGCCACAATTGGCTACTCTGATTTTGAATAGTTAAGGCTAAATAAATAGTATAAAATGAAAACATATTGTTCAATTAAAATATGTTAATATTACCTGAGCATAAGTACCCAAAATTTCATTTTTAAAGGCACGTCCAACCCACTCATCTTGCTGTTCTGGAGTACCTTGATTAATTAGAGAAGGCAAAAACATAACAGTATGAACACTAAAAGGTACATATTGTTTTATAACTGCTATATCTATTCCGTAAGTCCAAACCGCACTAATTAAAAAATAAACATAGTATAATATTAAAATGTAATTAGGAAATATCAACATTTATATTATTTTTTATTTATGATTTTATTGTCAGCTAAGGACGCTAGAGCTGGGGTATTTAGGTTTTGTAGATTATTACTAAGACTATAATGCAATTTAACAAAAAAAAAAATAATATAAAAATGTGGACTGCAATTGATCGATTTTTTCAACACAGAGTTTATAACCTAAAGTTTTTTTTTTTTTTTAATTTGATAATATTTTAAGAATTAAGAAATATGTAGTTTATTTAGCATATCTTGAAATTGTTTGTTAATTGTGATAAAAAAATACTTTCCTATACAAAGTAATCATTTTATCGAATTTTTCCAGTCAAAAAAAAGACAAAATGTTTAAATATATAATATACTTTAATATTTTTATCGTTGTAATTTTTAAGTTTTTACTTTTTTGAATGACAACATACATTTTTTATTTCATATTTTGAAGCAGAATATTTTTCGATGTAAAAATCGAAATTAGAACAAATAGTTTATTAGTTATAAACATTTAAAGTTTTGATGAGCGGAGTAGTGAGGTAAAGAGATATCCTGCAATATGTTAGTCTACTATCTTGCTCACCTAAATTTTAAATAGTTTTAATTTACGAGTATAAGACGTCTATAAATTATAATTTGTATATTAGGCACTCGTCTGAATAAATGACATTAAAACATTTCAAAAAATAATATCTACTTCAAGAATATGAAAATAAAAGTTAGGTATCTAAGTGAGTACTGCTGTACATTCGGTGTCGAAAAGGTCACTTTTATGGGTCTGTTAAATTGGGCGAGACTATTTTCGACCAAATTTAAAAAAACGCCGATTCCCTTTTCGACCAAAATAAAATTTTATGTAATGTATGTAAGAAAATAAAATAATTGGTATATAATTTTTTATAAAATTAGGGCAATTGTAGGTATAATTATATAATTTTGTTAATGATTAATAAAGTATATTTTCATAAAATGTGAAAAATTATTTAAAATATAAGAATATCTATACATATATTAACATCATTTTTATGTTAATATGTCACAAACCTACTTATGTGGTTTAAATTTTATTTTTTTATATAATATTATACATATTACATACTGGGACATTTAACATAAAAATAATATTAATATATAGATATTCTTATATTTTAAATAATTTTCTACATTTTATTTTACAACATTTTATGCATTTTATACTTTTAATTATTTTCAAAATTATATAATTATATAATTGTCCTAATTTTACTAAAAATATACACCAATTATTTTATTTTGAAATTTATAGGTATACTATTCAAACGCACCTGTTCATCTCTATTATATCGCTGTTCATAATTATTTCACATTCTTTGATCTTCTTGTACAAAATACAAGATTTTCGAATCGCTTGCTCATATTGTTCTTGGTGGCTTAGATATTCTAGAGGCACTTCATCCTTAAATTGTGGATCGCTGAGAAAAAAATCCACTAAAAATCAAAACACATAAATTTATTAATATTATGATGCGAGATGTGAGTTGGAAACTTAGAATAGTGCAACTAATAAGACAGAACTTCGCGTGTTTGAATTTTAAGTATTAATATTATCTGCAAGTAGGTAATACATTTTATTCGGTATGAAAATAAAATTGACTGTTGTTATTGTAATATATTTAATATTAACAATAATATATATAAATTAGTACAAAATAAAAATATTTTTTCCAATAAAACTATGGATTTAAAAAAATATCTGTTGCGCTACCAATAATTAAAATGTATACTACATAATACGAGTAAAACTTAGATATGACATAAAAAGTTATATTTTAACTTTAGATCGGATATATAATATAATATTATGTATTTTATTACTTGTATTAATGTAAATTTAAGTTGATAGGTAATTATAAATTTTTTTTAATACTTCTTATCCAACTTATACAACGATTTGAGGAAAAGTGCAGTTCAATATAAAATTATTGATGTATGTGATATATCTCAAATCTCAGTAGGTACCATTATTCCGGTCAGTCAATGATCAAAATCCACTGTCAAAGGATCAAGGTTTTCTTTTCTATTCTTGTATAACTATAAATACCTATAGATACAAATGTGCGATAAATAGGTATAATTTTATAAATATTATATACCTATTATGCATTTAAAAATTCCATGGTTCCTAATACTATTGCGATAATAAACAAATTCAAATTTTTTATCTGTACATATTATTTTAATTATAAATAATATAAAATATTTCTAAAATACTAAAAACTATAATATAAATAAATTTTATATTAATTCTAGTTGTAAACTCGACTTTACGTGTGAAAAATAAATAAGTGAACATAAGAATTAGAACTATAAGTATTGATTATTGGTGTATATTAGTTTTAGTGTCTCTTAGTTCATGTGAACATAAGTGTACCTTACTTTGTGAACTAATTCGACTGAGATGGATAATGAATATATGTAATTAGGATTGAATATTGCACTTAACATATTTTCAAACGTAATTTAAACTAATCTAAATTTTTCTGATATCTCTATTAATAATATCTAAAATTTTTGTCAGAATCGGTTGAATAGTTTTTGATTCTAAAAGTTACAAACAGAATGGCATTACCTTTAATTGTACCTAAATTTAAATAGCTAACAATAAATTTAATATCTGTAACCAATGTCTAACAGCAAAAACTATTCGATTTCCTTGAACCAAATTAAAATGCATATACAACCAGTGAATCACTCTATTACTTACTATAATATCTTTTTTTTTTTACAAATTTGAACCGACGGCGCCGCTGGGACTGCTTTCGCATTACTTCCGCGACGCCGAATTACTTACTAATACCTACTGGCTACTAACCTAACCTTAAGGATTACTAATATAACTTTTAATCGGTCCAATAGTTTCCGAGATTAGCGCCTTCAAACACATCAACTCTTCAACTTTATTTCAACTTTATAATGGTGAACGGACACTTTATACCTACTATCTATTTTAAAGTTGCATTTGCTTACCGCAAGCACTTTGTATAGAGTATAGATAAACCGAGATATATATTTTACAAGGTAAGATAAAATTGAATTACTCAATACACAATAGTTAAAACTTTAGATCGTGAATCATAATCGCAATCAGTAGGTACCTATGAAACACGAGTTTAGTGACACAGCAGAACAACATAACCTAGGTATAAACTCTAAAATACACTATAAATAAAACCCTTGCACTAGGTGATTACTGATTAATATGAAAAGCCGAACTATTAATAATAGAGTCAGTTAACTATCGTCTATCTGTGTTTTGTAATAACTCATAACTCAGTGAATAGCGGTGAACATTATCCAGTTATTAGTTATAGTTATTACTAATAATTAATAATAAATTATGTGATATGAACCTATAAATTTTTTCTATCTGAAATAGTATAAACTGTCCGCCATATTGACTGTTATTACTATCTAAAATAGAACAAACTATCCGCGATTTAAATTTGTTCTATGTGACCGACGACCGTACGAGGTGTTCAGGTGTTCTAAAATCCATTATAATTTTATAGTATAAAAGTATAGATTAAGTATCGTATTGAAATTATTTGATGAGAAGTACCTACCTATGTAGTAATATCAAGAAAAACTGTTATACGATAATACTCTTAAATTCACTGCATGCTATATCTAAATAATATTATATTTATCCAATGTATCTACTTCTGATTTAACTGTATAAGGTATTAGATAATAATGTGCCCGAGCAAAAGTCAAAACAATAAATATCTACTCATTTGTCCAAACAACAAATATACCTGAGAACTAGGTACTGAGTTTTGGTCAGTTTCGGCTCTTACTGCTCGTAACATAAAATATATTATAATAATGTACTATGTGTAATATAATTACCAATCTTTCGTTTTTTATCGGTGTTCTCCGCGCCACCGTTAATGAAATTCGTCAATTCCTCCATATCGAAAGTGCACGTCGTTCGTTCTCTACGCAAGTCATCATTAACGGTTTGTAGTTCAACCATCGTATCGTCTTCGTTGTTATTCATAGGTACTATGGTTTATAAAGCGAATAAAAATTATTTACACACACTTGTGGAAGTTTTTTTTTTTCAAAGAAACTTTGATCTGTGTATTATTTATGATTTATTATTAAAATTCACGACGCAAGATCTGCAGACTACAGTTCGTAAAGACCAATGACTGTCATGACATCATACAACAAATTTTTATACATCAACCGAAATTCGAATTATATTTTATGCGCTAGTGGGGTAGTGTGTATTTATTATAATAAGAAATTGTTAACAGAAGGTAAATCGGGTAAAACGTGAATTATATTGTACAGGTACGTATACTGAACTTATCGATCGCGTCAATCATTATCATAATTTATATTAAACACTATAAAGCTGTCAACCGTACAGGTGGGTTACTTAAACGAACGATGACGAACTGTTGAGCGACTTCCGCGTTCGATAATCGTATAATAAATTAAATTGAAATATGAATGGCAAAAGGAAATGAGATGGATATATTATCATTTATTATACTTAATGTTTTAACGAAGGGTCAATCGCAAAACGAATATTTAAATAATGAATAAGTAATGAGTGACGAGTGTATTTATTATAATAAAAGAAACCATACTATAACATTGTATAGGTAATAGATATATTTAAATAAGGACAGACAACAGATTTGATTATATAGGTATTTAGTTGAATTACTCAATAAATTGTTTTATCTATTTTCGCACTTTTGTCGCCTATAAAGTCGATTTGCAAGAATGTATGCTTATAGTTATAGTGATGGAAATCGGTAAAAGTGATCTAAAATCTAACGTAAATAGACGATGATAGATTTATCTTTGAATTTAAAAATTGACGTGTATATAATTTGTGGAAGACTTAATCGGCTTAAAAAGATGTCATTTGAAATGAATGATTGTATTTGCAAACATTTTGCAAAAATTTCTTTGAATCGACTGAGTCTTCAGAAAATAATAGTGGATTCAAAATCTTTAACTTCACTTTAACATTTGCGTAGCGCATTCCTGGTTAATTGTCCTTAAATTGTTATACACCGCAATGTCTACGTAAGTACGTTATTAATTTTTCAATAACTACATTTGGATGCAAACTCTAAAAGTAGGTAATTATTATCATATTGAAATGCACAAAGCTCCAAATTAATATGAACTGTTCGTCGATATTGAGCAACTTGTTAACGATCTTCATTCCTTATTCGAGAAACTCGAAAAAACGTTTTAAGTGCACAACAATTTGCAAATTCTTTAGTAGGTTGTAACATAGATTAAATATACTTAATTAATTAGTATAATTAATATAGTAGTAGGTAATAGGTATCTAGTTAAAAATACATAAAATGATCAATTTTATACATAAGATTTGACTATTGAATACAATGTTTCTCATAAGTATTTTTTTTTTAATCAAATGTTCTTCGATTAAAAAAAACCCAGATAAAAATTAAGATCATGTATTAGAAATATTTTGTGTTAGCTTTACTAATGAACACACAGTAGGTATTATATTATACAAGGTTAATGGTTATGTATACAACATACTTCATATGGGTATATGTATCCATATTTACAATATACCATACTCAGCAGTCAGGGATGGTTTGAACATGTAAAATGTCTATATTAAGGGTAGGTAGTTAACTTAAATGATTTGACATTTTTGAAATAGCAATAACTTATTATTTTTCTTGATATTTCTTAATATTTTATATGAACTAACAAGATGTAATGAGATGTTATTTCAATACTGTTACTATTATTACATTTGTCATTTGATAATTTTATTATTATAAATCAACCTAAACGTCTGAATAGACTGAATATATTAAGATTTTATTGTTTTTAGTATACTTAATCGAGGAAATATAAATTAAAAAAATTGGCAAACACATTTGGACCTATCTTATTCAACTAATGTTAACTTGAGTTTTAAAAAAAAAGATTGACAAATTTACCATGGATTCAAATTTACTATGAACTGCTTTATTAAATTAATGAGTAGAACTAGATACTTAATTAACATATTATCTTGTTATGTTTTTATTTTGTTTAATAAATTATAAAACATCTTAGTGTGTAATTTATTATTTCGAGTAAATAAAACTGCCAAACTAGCCAAAATGATTTTTTATTTGGTAAAATATCAAATTTGTGCAATGGTGGATAGGTGGGTGATATAATTTAGATTTATTCAGATTAAATACAATTGTTAAACCACCACTACATATAGTTAGACATATTATTAAAATTGATTATCTAAAATCCATTATACCTAGTCCTATAGTTTAAAATATACTTTAAAAAAATATTTAAAACAGCACCCAGTGCTGTCAGGCACAAATCTAGAAATATTATTTTGGGCGAGCCCTTAAATTTAACCACAAAAGATAATACAGTATAATTATGATTTAGGTAATTAAGAATAATTTTCATTTAGTCATTAATATTTCAATAAATAGTCCAGTACTAATAATAATAATAAAAAATAAATAAATAAAAATATTGAAATACAGTTGCGTGGAAAAATGTAATCCTCTTAACTTATCACGCGCAAATTCATTTAAAACTTCGTCTGAGTTTTGTATTAACTCTTCACTGCTATTAAAATTTATAAATTATAAACACTTTTATTCTAAAATAATAAGGTCTAATATAAAAAGGTTTTTATTTTAAAGACATTTCATAAATTCATAAATATATAAAATACAAATACACTAATAGTATTTATTGATTTTCAAAAATATATATAAAATATAAAAATAAATAAACAATAATTAAGGATAATATTAAAATCCATTTACATTTCAAATCAACTGTTAACAATTTACCATAATAGAATAAATGTGTGTATATAAATTTATGTCATAAATTCATAGTAAACGTAATAATAATAATGATATAAAATAAAACAAATTTAATTTAATGACTTAAAATAATTAATCACCATGAACTGCAGCACACCTACATTAATTACCTTTACTCAAGACCAGCATTAGAGAGGGAGGGCAAGTAGGGAAAAAATGGGATTTGCAATTTGTAATGCTAGCCCAACCTTTACAAAACAATAATAAATTATAAATCATAATGATGAAATTGAGAAAAATAAAATATTAGTGTTGTATACAAATATTTGATTTGTAACAAATTTTGAATTATCTTAGGTGTTATCTACCACTTAATTCACTTAATTTTTTTTCTTATAAATTGGACTTTAAATAAGGTTTTAAATACTTATGAAAAGATTCGTTAACAGGTTCTTGATTTAATGGACTTTTATTTGCGTCTTCTATTAGACGTTCATAGACATTTCCATCGTAAACTCCTAAAGCAGATCCCAGTATTTCATCTCGAACATCAAAACTATCAACCAAACCAACTGCATTGGGTCTAATTTGTTTTAAACATTCTTCTAATAAAGACTGTATAGAAGGGATGTCACTTGGTTTTAGATTTGAATACTAAAAAATAATTGTATAATAAAAATCAGAACTATATACATATAAAAAAAATTAAAAACTATATATTTAGTGAGATTTACTTGAAGAAAATCACCCATCTGATTAATCATCCAGTGAGTGCATACTAATTTACATAGAACTGTTAGTATTTTCATTAATTCTGAAGACAAATTTATCGTCTTAATTGTTGAAATAAAACTTTGTATTACAAAAGCTCTACAGTGGGCCTAAAACAAACAACAATTATTATTAAAATAAAATTAATACAATATTTTTTTTAGAATTGTAAATAAATTATTATTTTTAATTATTCACAAATCAACTTCATCAGATATCCTTTTCTTATTATTTTTGCATTACTATAGTACAATAATATAATTAGCACATACAATAATATAGAAATAAATGATAATAATTTTGTAATAAAGTTATAAACTCACAATTATTTTTAGTTATTGTATCAACCAAATGTTATCAAAATCAATACATAATTATATTTTGTAAAAGATTGATATGAATAGACAATTTTTGTACTAGAATTTCGCTCAAAAATGTATCCAGAGTATATCTGTTTAAAACTATAACTCAATTAAGTATCAGTAAAATTGTACTGATTTAATATATTTTACTGTTTTAAGTATAAGAAAAAAAATTGCAAAACATTTCTAAAAAGCAGTTAATAACTATGCATAGTTAAGTATTACTCCATGTTAAAGGTAAAATAAAATTGATAAATTTTAAAATTAAAATGGCTCTAACATTTAACAAAACAGTTCCACAAATTTACTTCAATATTTTTCATTAAAATATATTATCAGCAAAAAAGATATTTTTACAAGTAGACATATTTTTAGTTAGAATTATTAAAACTTACTTCTGTTGCTTTGGATAATTTGATAGAAGTTTCATTCCAAGCATCTTCTTGAGTCATACCAGAATTGATTAATTGATTAATAGAAAAGTAACAATTCTCAATTTTACTAAAAACAGTTTAATATTATTAAATTATTTTGATTAATCAAAAAACAAAATTTACCTTCCAGCAACTTGTAAAAATGCATTGCCGATACAGTCCAAATCTGTGTTCCATTTGTTACGTTTTAAACTCTTGAAATTATTTAAATACAAAACGGTTTCAGTTAATTTTAATCCTGATTTTGCATCTTGACATGCTTTCATCAAATACCTTCAATATTGAAATGAATTATTTATTAATTTATTCTATTTGTTAAGGAATATAAAATCTAGCTTTTTAAATAAACTAGTTAACTATTTAAAATATAATTGAGTAAATTTAAGGATTAAGTTTAATTATATTCTAATCCAGTGGTTTTCAACCTTTTTAACAATGTAGCACACTTCTTCTTCTACAAAATATTTGCAGCACACCAATTTATATAATACATTGTTCTAATCCAATGAACAATGTAATTTGTTTTAAAATTAATATGTTAAAATTACACAATATATTTATTCAAATTTTTTTCAACATCTAAAAAACATTACCTAGCTGTTTGCAAAAGTAACACAGTGTTCTCTCCTTCATATGTTTCAGTAGCAGATGTCATTGCGTACATATTTGGGAAATTACTACAATTCATATATCCATGACCTCCACATGCTAAACGACATGTTGTAACTGCAACTGCAGCATCAGCTGTACTAACAGCTTTCAAACAGCAAGCCATTGCATGTAACTAAACATATTAAATTAATGTTTTATTTAAAATGTAAAATGTATTTTATTACAGGTTATTTTAGGAGAATTTCAAACAACTACTTAGGATTATCATAATATAATTTAAATACCTCAGGTAATCGTTCTAATTCTCCTTCTTCTAATTGTGAAGTAACATCATTATAAATATTCCAAAGCCACGATGCAGCAAATTTATATGCTAAGCTTATGGCGATAGCTGGAAAAATTTTATATTGTTGTGTTTGATAATCTAAAA